AAAGGAACTCTTCTGCACTGTTGGTGGGAGTGCAAACTGGTCCAACCACTATGGAGAGCTGTGTGGAGATTTCTGGACCTACTAAACATAGAGCTTCCATATGATCCAGCAATTCCACTCCTAGGTATTTACCCAAAGGACACAGAAACATCAATTCCAAAGAGCACCTGCACTCCTATGTTTATAGCAGCACTGTTTACAATAGCTAAGCTTTGGAAACAACCCAAATGCCCAAAAATAGATGACTGGATCAAGAAGATGTGGTACATATATACCATGGAATATTACTCAGCATTCAAAAAAGATAAACACATGCAATTTGCAGCAACATGGATGGCACTGGAAGGGATCATGCTCAGCGAAATAAGCCAAAAAGAAAAAGAAAAATACCGGATGGTCTCACTCATAGCAGGAATCTAGAAAACTTAAATAAGGGACCAGGAAAATGAATATAAGAAAGTGAAAATCAAAATCAACAAAAAACTATGAACCAGAGACACTTTTTGGGGGGTGGGGGGCGGGAGGGGAAGGATTGGGGTCAGAATGGGGCGTTTGCAATTGTATGGGGGAATATAAAAATAAAATTTAATATTTAAAAAAAATAAATAAATAAATAAAAATTACTCAGAGGGCCTCCCTGGTGGTGCAGGCAATTGAGTGCAAAAAAAAAAAAAAAAAAAGATACATCAGTGAGAACATTTCCTTTCCACATGGAGTTCACATTTTCTCAGATGCTATTTGAATACCCTCACCTCAAGAGAACCTCATTCTTTGGTATAATCCAGTACACCTTTTGACATTAGTTTTTCCTGTGAGTTTCACTTGCTTATCTCATTTAGAACTTAGGTAAGTCCAAGATTCCCCACAATAGTCTCACAAATGTTTGAACACAGTTCTTATACCTAACTTCATCTCCTCCCACCTGTACCCCTTCTCATCAGCCCTGACTTTTCTCTTTTTCAAGCTAAGAAAACTCCATTCCCCCAACTATTCATCCTAAGACAATTTGCCTTATTTTCCTCTGAATGCAATAAAGATTGTGCATATTGTTCTAAAAGAAGACTGTGATTTGAGTCAGCAGACACTGGATTGTTGTCTCAGATCCAAATGCACCCACTCATACTCTGCTCTGTGATGCTGGAGTTGGAAATCCTTTGCCAGCTGACTTCCCCTTCTGCCAATGTGGGGATCAGAAGGAAACTGGAAGGCAGGAAGAAGGACTCATTTCCTGTTTACTATCTTGCCATTGTTGTCTGAACAACCCGCAGAGGGATTGGTCCTATTCTTCAGCTTCTTCCTGTGGCACATCCAGAATCAGCTTCAATGCATCCAACTCCCAGAGAAGCTAGTACCCCTCTCCAGAGGTCTGAGTTCCAAAGACACTGGGCATCTATTTTGAGGTAGTGACCAGACCCTGAGAGCAGGATAAATTCATCTTTAATGGTTTCAGCTCATGACATCTAGATCTGTTGCTCCTTCCGTATCTTTCTAACATTGTCATGTCACCTTAAATCTCTGATGCTTGAATCTGAATTCGACTTTGGTACTCTCTGCTGATAGAAACCTAGAATTCTCTCCTCCTCATTCATCCAAAGTCAGGCTCCAAATACAAGCCTCAGTATTTCTCAAGTCTAATCCCACCTTTTCATTTCCACTAAAATTGCCCAAAGAAGTCCCCTCACCATCTCTTGCCTAGACCCCTTTACAACCTCTAGCTGACCTCCCTGTCTTCCACCCTTTGTAAGTCAGGTGGTTTTTTTTTTAATTAATTAATTTATTTATTTATACAAGCACTGGGTACAGTAGAAGCACAGGAGGGTGAGAGAACTCACCAAAGCCAGAGCGGGGAGCAGAGCAGGCAGAAGGACCAAAGTACACTGCTGGGGGGAGCAGCGGGCGGCAGGAGAGGTCTGCGCGCCATGTGGGACCCTCCTCCGGTGGCCGGGGAGCAGCTGGGGCTTGAACCGGCGCTGCAGAGGCTGCAGGCAGCTTCGCAACCCAGTGCTCAACCGCTGCGCCACCGGGGAGGCCCAAGTTTTTGTTTTTTTTTTTAAAGATTTATGTATTAATGCATATAAGAACCGAGGTACAGGCCAGATGCGCAGGAGGGTAAGAGGATTCACCAGAGACAGATCGGGGAGCAGAACAGGCAGATTGACTGAAATACACTGCTGAGGGGAGCAGCAGGCAAGACAGGAGAGGTCTGCTGTACCACGTGGGATTCTCGCCGGCTGGCCAGGTGGCGGGGATCATATCTGCGCTGCAGAGTCTGTGGGCAGCTTCACAATGCTGCGCCACCAGGGGAAGCCCCATAAGTCAGGGTTTTTTTTTTTAAGATTTATTTATGCATACAAGAGCTGGGGTGTAGGCCAGAGGTGCACGGATAGGGGATGGTGGTAAGATGATTCATCAGAGACAGTGTAGAGAGCAGAACAGGCAGATTGACTGAAACACACTGCTAAGGGGACCAGCGGGCAAGAGAGGAGAGGTCTGCTGCACCATGTGGGTTAGCTTCCTGGCCAAGGATCGAACTCATGCTGCAGTGGCTGCGGATAGCATCATAGTGCCGAGACCATCAGTTTCACTCACAGAAGTCACTGATCTGCCTAGGGTTCAAATTTGTTCCTGTCTTCACCTACTAAAGTTCTAGCTTCTGTGCTTTACTCTGTATCCTTAATGCTTCAGCTATTCCCACCACATGGTTTCCCTCCTTCCAACTGCATTGTCACCTCTGCCTTTCCTCCACACATACTTTATCTGGCAAAGTGTTTTAAGACTCAATTCTGGGCCTCCCCGGTGGCGCAGCGGTTGAGCGCTGGGTTGCGAAGCTGCCCGCGGCCTCTGCGGCCCCGGTTCGATCCCCGGCTGCTCCCCAGCCACCAGAGGAGGGTCCCACATGGCGCGCAGACCTCTCCTGCCACCTGCTGCTCCCCTCAGCAGTGTACTTCGGTCCTTCTGCCTGCTCTGCTCCCCGCTCTGGCTCTGGTGAATTCTCTCACCCTCCCGCGCTTCTGCCTGTACCCAATGCATGTATAAACAAACAAATAAATAAATAAATACATAAATAAAAATACATGCCTCTTTAAAAAAAAAAATATTAAAAAAAAAAAAAAGACTCAATTCTGTCATCCAGTTAGGAAGGTTCCCTCAACCTCCTGTATATTTGCCTTTCCTTTGTGGCACCACCCACACTTAGTGGCATATTTTTAATCACTGCACACAACACTCTGTGCTACCATAATCTCTCTTTCTCACTAGACAGTAATCTCAAAGGGCTATTCATAGTTCATTACCACTGGAGACAACACCAGTCACTCACTGGGCTCTTTTTTTTTTTAATTTAAATTTTATTTTTATATTCCCCATACAATTACAGCCCCCTTATTTTGACCCCAATCCCTCCTTTCCCCTCCCCCCACCCCCCATAGAGTGTCTCTGGTTCATAGTTGTTTGTTGATTTTGATATTTTCTTTCTTATAGTTATTCTTTTTCCTGGTCCCTTATTTAAGTTTTCTAGATTCCTGCTATGAGTGAGACCATCCGGTATTTTTCTTTTTCTTTCTGGCTTATTTCACTGATCGTGATCCCTTCCAGCTCCATCCATGTTGCTGCAAATTGCATGTGTTTATCTTTTTTGAAGGCTGAGTAATATTTCATGGTATATAGGTACCACATCTTCTTGATCCAGTCATCTGTTTTTGGGCATTTGGGTTGTTTCCAAAGCTTAGCTATTGTAAAGAAGCTATTGTAGAGGAGTTTCTTTTTAGCTCTTCTGCCCATTTTTTGACTGGATTATTTTCTTTGCTGTTGTTGAGTCTCATCAGCTCTTTGCAGATTTTTGTGATCAATCCTTTATCATTAGTGTTGGGTGCAAAAATGTTCCCCCAGTTGGTGGGGTTTCTCTTTGTTTTTGTTATTGTCTCTTTTGCTGTGCAGAAGCTCTTTAATTTGATGTAGTCCCAGCTGTTTATCTTTGCCTTCACTATCACTGCTTTGGGTGATGTGTCTGTAAAGATGTCTTTGATGACTCACTGGGCTCTTAAATAAATGTTTATTGCTAAAATTCAAGGACTAATTACTAAAATGCTAAACCAAATTGTTGTGCCATTAAGAATTCCTCCACTATCTCTGTATCATTTACAGTGTTGTAAATCAATGCTACCTCAATTAAAGAAAAAGATCAAGTTTCTCCATTAGATTGAATTATACTCAACAATTAAAAGAAACGAACTATCAACACATATAACAATTTCCATGACTCTAAATTAGGCTGAGTGAAAAAAAGTCACCTACTGTCTGATGCTGTTAACATAACATTTGAAATGACAAAATTATAGAAGTGGAGATAGGTAGGTGGGTTTAAGGTGGACGTGGAAGGGAAGTAGTTATGACTATAAAAGGGCAACATGGGCCTCCCTGGTGGCACAGCGTTTGAGCGCTGGGTTGCAAAGCTGCCCGCAGCCTCTGCAGCGCGGTTTGATCACGGGCCACTGGCGAGCATCCCACATGGTGAGCAGATCTCTCCTGCTGCCCGCTGCTCCCCTCAGCAGTGTTTAATCAGTCTGCCTGTTCTGTTCCCCACTCTGGCTCTGGTGAATTCTCTCACCCTCCTGCGCTTCTGACTGTACCCAGTGCTTGTATAAATAAATAAATAAATAAATAAATAAATAAATATTTAAAAAAATTAAAAAAGAAAAGGGCAACATGAGGAATCCTTGTTGTGGGTCTGTGTGATGAGAGAACTGATCAGTCTCTTGACTGTCTGTATCAGTAATCTGGCTGTGAAACTGCGCTCTACACTTGCAAGGTGTTATCACTGAGGGAAAATGGGTAAGGCATACTTGGTGTCTCTCTGTATTATTTCTTACAACTGTATGTGAACCGACAATTATTCCAAAATAAAAAGCTTAATCAGAAAAAAAATCTCCCACCAGAAAGAACAGAGACTTCATACACTCCAAACTCTTTTTTTTTTTTTTTTTTTTATTTGAGAAGGACGATCTCAAGGCAGTGCCCTTTGGGAAAGGCATCTCTCATCATCATCATGTACATCGAGATCAATCATTAATCTCAGCAAAGTACAAAAATACACACATCAGTGACTTCCGTACAATAAATACATAATCATGCATCCCACAATAAAAGGCACGGAAAACCGGTCACTTAGTAGTCATAAAAATTACTAGCTACATTAACAAAGCCACCCAAATTATCTGTATAAGGAACTGTAACAATATATTCCAAAGGTGAAAACACATAAAACATCTTTAAAATAGTATGCAATAAATATCTCAATTGTTGTATATATTTAAAAAATTATGCCATTGTAAACAGCATGTAAACAAACAAAACTCACGTTTCTTACCATTATTAAAAGTAATTAGAGCCAAAGTTATAACCTCTGCTCTGTCAGGTATATTTCACTGGCAAGTGTGCTAAGCAGTTAAAAGTTTCACTCTTTTCTGCAGCAAACAGAGCCCACTGTGTAATAAATAAACACAATCTGCATCTTTCAGACACAAGTACAAGTTTTACAACAGACTACCAAAATGTAGTAAATTTTTAACTATAAATAATATGACAAAAGTGAAATTAAAACTATCTTTTGCAATGTAAAGGACAAAAGGAAGTAAACTGCTATGTTTTTAATACGATGATAAACAGCCAATAACTACTGATTATATTTATTGAAAGGTAACAAGAATATGCTGAACATAAGGACAAATGTCCAGCATCTGAGCCTCCTTTTGTGGACCCTTTATAATGTAGAAAAAAGAGTAAAGTTGTATTAAACTAAGAATTTTTTTTTTTGCTAGAGAACAAAGAAATGGTTGATACTTTATGCTAATGGGAAACAGTTCAAAATATGCCTATCACAATGTAACTATACATACAAGTAATGTCCTTCCACACTTGCTAACAATAAATATAAAGATATTCTTTTCCTTCTCAAAGAAACCCTACTGCCTAATCATCAAGTATTTAGAGAAGTTAATTTTTTTTAATTCAAATATTTTTGTTTGGGTTCATCTGTATATCAGTGTTCTGAGGCACACAAATACTAGCTGTGCATTGACCTGCTAAATATTATTTCTTTCTACTTCCATTAAATATAATCAAGATGGAACCATCAACCCATAACTTGGAGTGGAGCCTTTCAAGTATACCAGAAAGCATTCCCTTAAAACTTTCCCCTCTACTGCGGTTCACATGCATACCTTATGTATTTTGGTGAGTTACTAATCAGGATCTATCCCTTCTTAAAATGGACCTGAAATTTTGCTCATATTCGATAATACTGTTAGTCACTTGGGTCACATATAGCACCTATGGTTGTGGAAACAGGGTTCTACGGGATTGATGAAAGATGTAATTGACAAGTGATGGTCAAACATTAACTGCAGATGACCTAAAAATACAAAAAAAAAAAATTTCACATAAAAATTGGATCACTTCCTTATTACAGAGAATTTGGTCAGTTTTTTATTGGAAGGAGACTACTCTGAAATAACCTGAGAAATACTTGTTTTTAAAAATGCCCTCCCTAATTTGAAGGGATATATACACTCCTATGTTCATTGAAGCACTATTTATAATAGTGCTAATGAAAACAATTTAAATGCATAAGGACAGATAAGGTGATAAAGAAGATGTGGTAAATATACGCACAGGAATATTACTTCACTATTTAAGAAATGAAATGTTGCAATTTGTGACAACATGAATTGAATTGGAGAGGACTACGCTAAATGCAATAAATCAGAAGGAGAAAGATATGCATCAGATGGTTTCATTCTCATGTGGAATATAAAGAAACAAAGCAAAGGAACAGACAAACCAAAAAGCCCCCTAAAATCTGACTGCACAGCTAAGGCTATCAGAGGAAGATGGTAGCGAATAGGGAGCAAAGGGTAAGTGCGGGGGTGGGAGGCCTAATGAGCTATGGTGAAAGGCTCTTGGGGCTTTGGTGGGATGTGTGGTGTGGCATGGGAGCATACCTCTCAAAGGTGTCAACCTACACCTCTAAAACAAAGTGTTACAAACTGTTACCTCAGTAAAAAAATAATTTAATAAAAAAGTCCTCTAAATTTAACAAACTGTCGAAAAACAATTATGAAAACAAACTTGAACTTTACCAGACAAGAGCTATGCCTTATTTCATTTGTAGCCTCGGCATCTAATCAAGTACTGAGTACAGAGAAGATAGGAAAATGTTCATTAAGTGAGGGAAAAAGAGGGCATTTAAATTTAATTATATGCATTTTGGACAACTATTTAATTTTAGAAATTATTCACTTCTAAGAGTTTTTGGTGTAACATTTGTCATAATTTTGAGACATTTTAAAGGTTTTATAGAATCACAAAAGGAAAGCAGACCCCTTGGTAACAATTTTTAGTTATTATATTCCACAAGGGGTAATAACTGTGGCAAACAAGACTTCTTACATTTGAATAAAAAATGAATAATCATACACTAGAAATGACTTGAAATGACACAAATTCAGTTTATATCTGTAAGCAGGATCTAACTAATGTCATAGTTAATCTTCATTATGCAAAATCACATGTCTATTAATTAGGTCCCTGTGAGAAGAAAATTTTCAGAAAAATAATTTCTTGTAGTCACTGTATCAGTCATTCTGAAATCATCATTTAGAGATCTGTCTTCATGAAAAGTAAGCTGTGTCATTAAGACAGGTCAGAATATCATGCTGATGAGTTCTGATTCAGTTTTTTCCTTATACCATCAGTTTGCACTTTACACCTTCTTATAATTTCAACATTTTCAGGGGAGGGAGATGCAATAAGAGCTCCAAGTTATCATATTATGTTACAAAATTACCAGATTTAACAAAGAAATCTTTACATTAAAGATCATAGGGTGGCTGACTTTGAATGTCAGGTATAAATAGTCAATATTCCTTTACCCTCATATATAATTAATGATTTTAGCTAGGTCATTTGAAATGATTTCTTTTAATGACACTCAGATTTCCATTATGGTAGTAATTAAGATAATCTCTAGTTTCTTTACAGAAAATTTTGAAGGTACTTTGCACGAGGGAGTATCATCGCACAGAGACCCAGGCTTGGAAGAAACAGCAAAGAATCTATGCAGAAGTCACTTAGTACAGATGGTACATTACATCACAGGGGAAAACAAGGTAAGGGAGTCCCATATTCCAATTTTTCAACCACTGACTTAAGAAGACAATTTTCCCTTTGGAGAGTTAGTCTAAGAAAAGACTTGATACACACACACACACAAAGCACTGCTATCAAATCGCTGTCTGGAGGTGAGTATTGAAAAAATAAAATTATTCTAAATTTCTGAAGACTTTAGAAGTGAGTTCTTAGCATATTCTCAAATGAATAATATGAACTTAAAGCATCCAGATGAAAATACCATGACTGACTCTGGTACAGATAGTACTATTAGAACTGCACTTGTCTTTTAAAACTGAACATCAAGGAATATTAATTTGGACTTTTAATTTTAATGTTTACATATAAATTGACAGAGGAAAGAAAGGGCAGATTTAGGTATGATGCATACTTAGATAGTTCCTCTTGTAAAAGAAAAATTACCAAATACTTATAGTTGATAACATTGTGTGCTATTTCTAGTTGGGGAAAATGAGTCACCAAAACATACAGCTTTGTAGAAAGGACACAGTCACTGATCAGATCCCATAAACCCTCACTATTCCCATCTCCAGAATCACAGGATTCAGCTACTTATAATATTGTAATTTTTAATAATTTTCTCATTTCAAATGAAGGATAATCCATCATTGCTAACAAATTTCAAGGCTTAAAGCAAGATCATAAAAATCTCTTTAGTCTGCAGGGTATGTTCTAATCCACGTGTAACTGTGTTCTCTAGGAACTAGCTTAAGCTCTTCTGATTATTTTTCCCTGTATCACCTAAGTTGAGCAAGATCAGATATTTGCCTCATGTAGTAAACACAAATGACCAGATGATCCAAACTACCTTGTTCAACAAACTACCCCTTCTTCAACAGAACAAGGGGCTCCCGAATTCACTGGCTGTTTTGATAAGATACAGAAGTAGTGTCAGACTTCACCAGTGGAACATTTTTTTGTCTGTGTGGTACTGTGCCTATTGTACTTCCCACAAGTATTTTGTATTTCTATAAGGTTAAAGACATTTATATTTATTATATAAAGATATGCTCAAAGGATCCATTTCCAAATCTTTCCTGCATTGCCAGATCAAGCTCCTATTTCCTTTAATTTCCATGTTTCTAACGTATTTTCTTTTCCCTACCTTCAATAATTGCATGTACTATGGTAAAATGAATATAAAACTCTTTAAAATCATAATAAACTAATTCCTATTTAATCTCCTACTGTACTTCTTAGATAATTCACAATTCATGTACTGCTTATACTGTAAAAACAATAAAACAGTTGCATTTAGGGTTTGTTAAAGCAATTTCTTTGGTATATAATACTGCCTCAGCTTAACTCAGAATAGCTTTTTTGTCTTCCCCAAAAATATGCAATTTTATTCTGTTTTGTATGTTGTGACATTCTGTTTTAAATTTTTAGTTTTTTCAACAATTGATTAAGAATACTCTTAAGCAGAAATAATTTAAAAATCCAATTGAAATCACATTAACTTAACTGAGAAAACAAAAAACTAAACTACTACCTTTCATATCATTATTTGTGAACCAGTCCAAATGCAAATGTGTTAAAAAATAGACTCCCGAGAATCAAAAGCTGGCCGGTACATGCTTGTGACATTTTTTCTTTTAAAGATCAAATTGGCAGTATAATCACTGAGAACTCATTCACTCGAAAACTGAAAATTTACTCTAGAAAGTAAGTTCTGACCTCAGGATAAAATATATATTGGCAAAAAATAACAAAATAATCCTAAGGCTACATTAAATTCTTATATTGGTGATTTCATTTTGGCTTTACATCTTTATTCCATATGTATTTTTCAACATTTAACGAAGTTCCTATTACTAGTCAGTTACCTATGATGGTAAAGAATACCATTTTTTTCTTTTTGTAAGGAAAAAAGTTGGGCATCTGTTTGACAGAAATGAGTACTTCAAGTACATAAGTAAATAGTTAACAGAATTGTGTTACTATACTCTAAGCAACAGCATAACAAAGAGCTAGAATATGCATTTTGTATACAGATTAAGTTTCACAACATAATAAATAAATGCACTGATTTATACAACTTTTGAAAACCTTCTACTGATGACTGAGTAATACTATTATTAACTTTGCTGATACCAGCACTGCCTCATTTAGAGATTTGAAGGTAAAATTCCTGCCTTAAAGCCACAAAATATACAAAGCTGGTTTGTTATTGAATATTTCGTCTGCCAAGATTCCAGCAAATTAAAATACATCTTGGCAGTTTGAATCACCAGCATAATTATTTTGGTATAAAAAGATAAGAAAAAATTTAATATGAAAATTAATAAGACCAGTAAAAGGAGAAACATGTTGTATAAATAGACATTTTAACATAAAAGTGAGACTTTTTATCTTACTTAAAAGGAAGAAAAAATTTAATACAACTTACTTGAAGATTTGAAAATAATTATTGTATTTTCCCAGCTCTAGATAAATATATTACTCCGATTTATCAGTTATAGTCATCTTCATTATACAATATATAACTCACAAAACTGGGAATGTTACAATGCCAGAGCCTTTTACAATACTAGTTACCAGTTACCAGAACTGTAAGAAATCTTTAGCTACATTTCAGCTTAATACTGAGAATACAGAAATAGATATGGCTAAGCTATGGTAAACAATAGTGCAATCAAACAGTAAGGACCACAAAATAGACTCTTTTTCCTCTTTAGCTTGTATATCTAACTGCATTGATCCTATGTCAGTGGCATTATCAACTGAGTATGAAACTTTAATGCATTTTAAAAGTAACCTTATGTTCCTTTAGATTTAGTTAATTTACTCTTGAAATGCAGTTCCTATGAAATACCAAGACTATTTATAAATTCCTATACAATGAATAACTTGTAGCTGCAATGAAATACTTTATGTAGGGATTTAATAACTTAAGTAGTGGCTTGGTTTCTATTTTTCCAACTAAGGTTTGGAAGTGCATAAAAATTCAAAGAGTATAAATATATGTAAATAGAATATCTTAACTACATAAAAGGAACTAATCTGTTCACCTATATTAGTAATATAGGTTTATCTTTATTATTGTTACTGAGTTTAATACAGTCTCAGTTACACTTCTGTTTCAGAAAATAACAAAAAGTATTCAAATAGGTACAGTCCAGCTGTCTTTTAATCTCTCAGTTCTCTGAAATGATAAACCTTTAGAATTTTTTCTTCTAACAGCCATGTCTCTAAACAAAACTTGAAGAAAAAAATACAGAGAAACAATAATAAAGATAAAAATCAATGTGTTGCATATTATAAAAATCAATAATCATTGCCTTTTAGATTGTTTGGATGTTTCTTTAGAAAGGCATCCTATTGCAAAGGCATCCTATGACCCATCTGACACAGCTTGCTAAATAGAAGTCACTGAGAAGATGCCATAGCAGAGACAAAAAAAAAAAAAAAAAAAAAAAACCCAAGCCCCAACATACTTGGCATGGGACAGCCAGAGGAATGGGAGAAGGACGCAGCCAGACACTGTGGGAAGCCCCCAAGGAAGGTAGGGGGCAGAGGCTAGGTGTCAAGGTTGTGACATCAGTTTCACTTCTCAATCTTCTTTTCCACTGATTTAAGGAACTTGGTGTTATAAAACCACCACATGCATCTGAAAAATGTAGGATGAGTTCATTTTGGGAAGAGGGGAAGGGCAGATTCTAGATGTCAAGGTTGAAAGATGCAATATTTTTATAGCTTATTGAAAAGCTACATCCATAAAGAATTCACAACTGTATTATATGAAAGTCCACTATATGGTCAGCCCAGTTTGAGATAATAAATAATTTAGTTGAGAAGTGACATACAGGGGTTTCCTCTATAATTTTCTAAGTCATAGCTTTGGGTGACTATTTCCTTCCTCAATTCTTGTTAAAATAACTTCATGAAGGTTAAAGTAGTGCTCTCTTTATTCACTAAATTAAGCTAACATTCTCTAAGCAGAAATGTGTTGGTACATTATATTGGTATGTAAAAGTTGTCAAGTGATGAATTATTGATAATTAGTCATTGGAAATATCTTATAGAAATATTTTCCATTTTGAGGGTCAAGAATATGACTTACTTTTCAGGCTTACTTACTATTTGAAAGAATTATTAACTATCTGAAAATCAAAATAAGTTAGCAAAAAACAGATCATAATTTAGTAAACATGCCTTCCTTGAGGACTTTAATGATACATTCATTTTACTTGTACTCAGTTTAGTTTTGTTTTTTTTTTTTTTTGCATGCCTAATGATTCATTTCATGGGTGTGTGCTGCTGGATGTCCTCCATCATGAACTATGTCAACAGGATGATCTACTGATAAGAAAAGTAAAATGTACAAGTTGTAGAAGTCTGACAGGTCCTTACTTATCTCAGTACATATTCTTCTGCAATGTCCCCTGTGACTTAAGTTGTGTACAAGTGAGAATGTCACATACAAATCAGATTGAGCAAATGTAGATTGTAGTGACTTAGATGTGGGGCAAGGGACTGGAGAGAGGCCAGCTGTGTCCCATTCTAGCTATGAAAATATGGGATAAGTAGGGCTCAGGGAGAACCAGAATTAGGAATAAAGATTGAGAAGAAAATTTAGCTAGGGTGGTGAGTATCAGCTAGTTTCTTGGAATAGCTGGAAAATGAATAGCTAACAGTGGGCTGGGTAGTGAGCTTTTCTGAGGCTATTTTGAAGATCTCACATCCCTAATAGCTAGGAGAAATCAAATATATCTATCGGGTCAGTTGTAATCACCTGATGAAGTTAAAAGGAAGATTTTTGATTCAGTAGGTCTGGAGTGGACCTGAGATTCTGATTTCTATAAGCTCGCAGGGGATAGGGGTGCTGCTTCTCTGTGCACCACATTTTTGAGCAGCAATGATCCACTAGTGTTCTCCGGCAGAATTTTTGCCATGGTGGGAATGTGCAACATATCTATTGTCCAGTATGGTTACTGATCGTGTGAAATGTGTCTAGTCAGCTAAGAAACCAAATTTTTAATTAAATTTGATTTAAATTGCCACATGTGGCTAGTGGCTATGGTACTGGATGGCACAGATCTAAACATTCACAGATCACTTCTTAGAGCAATATATGTCATGGTCCCCAAATGATCTAATCAATCAGTTCATTTAGATTAGCAAGTATCTTTTTATAAATGTAAAACTAATTTCTTTAAATGGTTTTCTCCCTATTACTTAGCTAGATGACTTACAACTAGTGCTTAAGGTGAGGAGATGGAGTCATTTTGTGGGACAGTCGATGAGGAGAGGGCAGCATGCTGCCCCATGAATTTCAGAAACCCTCACTGTATTGTGCAGGTGAAAGAACAGAAAGTCAGGGAGTGGGGAAGAATGTCAGACAAGGAGGTGGGAAGACACAAAAAAAAAATATCGAGTCCTCCAAGAAATTTTACTTCAGCCTGACCTTTCCCCCATCCTCCTTGAGTCTCCCTCAGGAAAGTAAGATGAAAGGAGAGTGGATATTAGCTGTGATTTCCCCAACTCCCTTTAAAATAATCCAACTGCTTGGAGCTTATTGGGGAGGAAAAGTGGGAAGGACAGCTGCAGAAGGAGTCAGAACGTGCTTTCCACCTTAGCTTAAACATGGATCAAAGTACAGAGGCCCTCCCTGCACTCCCCAGACCTGTGATCAGGTTCCATGGAGAAGCTCTTCCTACTTTTTTTTTTGGTAGTCCTATCAACTATAAGCAGTCGGTTCCTTTGTGACACCGACAAGGGGCCTGAGGAACTTCTGTGGACACCATCATAGCAAATGGGTACCTGTGATGTCATTTGGTGCTACACAGTCTTACACACAAAACGTATAGGAAAAATTTAACTATATAAAAATAATGAAAATTATCATTTTAAAGAATTTTCCTCACCCAAAATTTATTTGCAGAAAAATTCTAGTTAACTAAGGATTCCACTAAGTGAGGTTTTGCAGCATATATGAAAGATCTTACCTAAGCATGAAAAGATCAACACCTAATAAAAATACCCAGTCATTTACACCTTACTCTTAAAAGGCTTGAGGTGCTATCTTTTCCACTGGCAAAGAGGTATTTAGGAAAGTGAAAACTCAATAAAGATTGTTATGCTAATTCCTTTCCAGAATTCCTTGCTCTGTGCCCCCCATTTTTTCTTTTTTGGTAGAGCTGAGAACCTGGCATTACCACTTTTGAGCTCACAGGAAAGTGCTTGGGAGAGCAGGGCACCAAGCAGGATGGGACTGTAAGATGGACTAACTAGAAAAGCAGACTTTTGATTTCATAGGTATGGAAAATTAAATCTATTAAGTGAGTAGCTTTTCATACTGATACGTGACTTGATATAATTTCCTTTGGAAAATTTCCATTTGTTCACAACTTAGGTAAAACATATAGTCAGATTTGGTCAGAAACTTCTTAAGTTTCTTTATTTTTAAGATAGCCTCATTTGGGGATTTTACTGATAGTCAAATACTCAAGTTATAAATAAGGATAAAGTGTCAGATACTTAAACTCCTTGCATAAAATGTCTGACAATAGTTCACTTTAAAGGTTCCTCCATTAATATTTCTCTTTAAACATTTGGCAAATAATTGTCTACAAAATATAAGAGTATATCTCAAGACTACATGTATGTTAGTGTGGTCATACATATAAATATAAGTGTATATACATGTGTGTATATGTATACATGTACATATATGTGTGTGTATGTTTACATGTGTATGTGTAATGTGTGTGTACGTATATCTACTGAGCACCTACCTAGAAGGCTACTTTATGAAAATTGTCAGCACTGGGTCAACTTCTGGTTTACTTCTCTATGATAGAAGATTTCCAAATATTATAATTCACTTTTGGTATATACTGTTTTAAGAAAGTTTAACTGAGGACATTTTTGTGATCTTTTTGATATGGATGCCTTTGGCTTTCAGAGATTCGATCCTTATAATGTTAACTCCTAATTAGCTACATTGAAGTATAGTAGTTTAGTAAAAGAAAAATAATATCCATTTGATAGGATATAAGAATCAAATGAAATAATAATGATGATTTAAAGCCCTTAAGAAAAAATTTAAATCTTTTTTGTTAGGAAGGTCATGTCAAGAGTCACTTTAGCGAGTAGATGGTTCTTGATGACCAATCAGTGTATAAATCTTAGCTGAGATATGGGAAAATCCTGGGATATCAACAGTCTACCATAATATAAGTGCACACAGAATATTAAACAATTATTAAAATTGAAAGACAAGTAAGACAAATGGTTTGGAAAAACTATAACAGCTTTTGTTAGGCAACAGAACACATAATTTTATGAAAATATCTAGAGAATTTTCTTAATGTGCACACCAATGTTTATGACAGGTTGAAATAAAATTAGCTTGTGTAAGATTTTTTTTTATTATGGCACAGACACAGGTTCACAAATTCTTAGATACAGAATATTTGTGGAAAATTCCACATCAAAGAAGAGAAAAGTGCCTTTAGCCAACAAAAAAGTACTCAGGTAGTAATAAATTAAATTCAATTAAAAACTGACATTAAAGCTGTTAAAGTGTTAACAATATTAGATGTGACATGCAAGAAAAAGAGACAATTCAGGCAGGAGCTTCGTGCATTAGGATTTGCATTCATTCATAGTATTTGAGGGGTCTAAACCATAATCTTTGAATATTGATCCCCAGAAATCTGATGTGATATCAATCTAACATTCAAAATACAGCTCATCTTATAGCTTAACCTACTGACCAACGATCTTAAAGAAGAAGTCAATGCCTCTAATAATGAAACCTAAGAAATTTTAGCCACATGTTCTTATGCATTGCACAGTAAGAATATTTCATCTGACCAGGTTGAAAGAAAGTACGCATTTTGCAGTTCCACCTTTTAGATGAGGCAATTGTCTCAGATTCCTCCTACCATTTTACTAATATATTTGAACATGTCAAGTTGGCCCAATAAGAAAATGGCTTCATGGAATGTAATTATTTGGCACAAAAATAGTTTCTATTACTCAAATCAAAATTTTCACCCATAGAAAATATCAAACCATAGAGGTGTTTCAGTGGTGCTTACTTCTCCAGGCAGAAAACTACAAGGACAGCCATTGCTTCCAAGCACTTTGTATTGCGTGGCAATTCTTTCTCTTCCAAGGAATAGCACCAATGTGATTACACCTCAGACTGGGGAGTACTCCTTCCAAGTTCCTTAATTCCCTGGAGAATTCGCTTCATATGACCGACCTTCGGTATCCCCAGGTCCTAAAAAAGGGAAAAATAGGAAAGGCAGAGAGGAAGGGAGAGAGGGAGGGAGGGAAGGAAGGAAGGAAGGTTGGTTTAATGATAAGAGAAAACTGGAGACAAAATATTTAACCAGCAAGTAACATAGTTAGCGTTTGGTTCATTTATTTTATTTTATAATCAGTGTTTAATGTGGTGAAAGTTAGAAAAGTGCGTAAAACAAAAGTAACTTGACATTGAAAAATTACCAACCAGTAAAAAATAAAACACATCTTATGCAAACTCTTAAATGTAATATCTTCATAAATTATATACAATCACAGTTCTTCCAGAATCAAAATTAGTTTATTCTTTTTCTTTTCCATCTAAAGGAAACTCATGTCAAACACATGTTGACATGTGACAACAGGGTATCCACATTTATTCCTAAGGCAACAATATATTTACTTGATAAAACATTAAACTTAAAAGTAGGGCTGATCCTAACAGAAGGCACCACTCCCTAAATTTGGAATGTAATTGCATCTGTAGATGCTTTTATAGTTTTAGTTTGAAATATATAAATATTCTTTATAGTTTGTAATGGATATGTATAAGAAATTACTTAAACACAGGAATCTATGGGTTGATGCTTTTCTTCCAAACATTTTTGGCTTCTTTCCCTCAGAACTCTCTTTGTTCTTTAAAGAACTGTATTCCTAGTGGGTATCAAGAATTCAATATTTAATTTTCAGAAGCCAATGATGATGGCAGAATGTACATAAAGCACAGAACAGACTGTTGGCAAATAAACAGTTATTGCAGGAATGGATGAAATCCAAGATAGCCATAATATTTCCTATCTTAAAAATTAAAAGAAAGGGTTAAAAGTTCCAGAGATTCCAGGTCATCCACAATCATTAAGGCAATTATACATTTCCTTAGTGTGTGCTGAAATAGTTTAAGGCAAGACCAAATATGAGAGAAAGGTATCAGTGCTTGTTACCTAAATTTGTAATGAAAAAGTCTAGTTCCAAGCCCTGTAACTTCTTTAAGTATAATGGATGTAATCAGTTTGCTTATATGTGATATCAAATAACTTCCTTTCAAAATAGTCTGAAATAGTTGAAAATTAGCAAAAAAGATGACTTCCAAGGCAGTCTAGAAAACAGGATTGTAAGATATCACACGATTACAAAGAGAGATTTCAAATGGTCATTTTTTTTTTTGTAAATTAAGAGCACTGTTTATTTAAAACTTATTTTTCTCCAATTTATTTATTTTTAAAGTTTGTTTATTTTCTTACATCATTCTTCATTTTTGGAGAGTATTTGATTTCTCCCCCCAGATGTAGTCCCTGTAGTTCTCCTCGTGCTCTTCCCTTTCTTCTTTTTTTTTTTTTTAGGTCTTTATTTATTTATTTATTTATTTATTATTTATTTTTAATTATAAATTTTATTTTTATAGTCCCCATACAATTGCAACCCCCTTATTTTGACCCCAATCCCTTCCCTCCCGCCCCCCACCCCCCATAGAGTGTCTCTGGTTCTTCGTTGTTTGTTGATTTTGATTTTTACTTTCTTATAGTTATTCTTTTTCCTGGTTCCTTTTTGACCCTCCTCCCTCCCCTTCCCTTGCTGTATGCGTCAGATCTATGGTCAGCTTCCAAGTTTTGTCATTTTCCTGATCCTTTGTTTGGTTTCTCTATTTAAAAAATTTTAAATGAAATAGTCCAAATTGTTTTAAGTCCACACACCCATCCTCCCTCTCTCCCTGCTTCTTTCCTCTCCTACTCTCCATATTCTTTAGGGGCTCTTTGAATTTTTTAGCAGCAATGCTACCAAATCCTTCTGGAAAATACCTTCTAAATCCTTCTGGAAAATACTTTTTTCATAATCAGTACTCTTTACAGGTTTGATATAATTTCAGGGTAACATTTTTTTTTTCTAAAGATTTATTTATTTATGCACACAAGAACTGGGATACTGGCCAGAGGTGGCGGGGGCAGGGTGGTGAGATGATTCACCAGAGACAGAGTGAGGAGCAGAACAGGCAGACTGAAACACACTGCTGAGGGGGGCAGCAGGGAGACAGGAGAGGTCTGCTGTGCCATGTGGGTTGCTCCCTGGCCAGGGATTGAACTCGTGCTGTGGTGGCTGTGGATAGCTTCATAGGCTGCATCTCAACCCCCTGTGCCACCAGGGAGGTCCCAGGGTAACATTTTTATAAATTTAACTAACCTAGAAAAATATCTTCTCCTATGACACAGGTCGTCCACAATTAATCTTAAAGCAACTATACATCTCTTCAGTTTGTGTTAAAATAGTAAGCTTTAAAACAAGGCGAGGACCTCCCTGGTGGCACAAGGGGTTGAGCACAGCGCTGTGAAGCTGTCTGCAGCCTCTGTAGTGCGAGTTTGATCCTGGGCCCGGGAGCTACCCACATGGAACAGCAGACCTCTCCTGGCTCGCCTGCTGCTCCCCTCAGCAGTACACTTCTGTCAGTCTACCTGTTCTGTTCCCTTCTCTGTCTCTGTGAATCCTCTCACCTCCCACACCTCTGGCCTGTACCCCGGTTCTTGTAATCATAAATAAAGAAAGCTTTAAAAAAAAAATAAAACAAGGCTGGCAAAATCCTAGAGGAAGATGCCAGTGCCCTTTACCTAAATTTGGAATGCAAATGCATTTATCAAAACAATTGCATTTTAGTCTTTGACTTGAATAGAACATTTAAATATACTTTGTACTTTGTGGTAACATGGCTGATTAAGAAATATAGTTCATATTAAACACTTTTTTTAAAGATTTAATTTTATTTGTTTATGCATACAAGAACTGGGTTAAAGGCCAGAGATGGGGAGGGTAAGAGGATTCAGAAGAGTTAAAGGAGCAGAACATGAGGATCCACTGAAATATACTGCTGAGGGGAGCAGCGGGCGAGACAGGAGAGGTCTGCTGTGACATGTGGGTTAGTTCCCTGGCAGCGGAGCAAACCCATGCCACAGTGGCTGGCGATAGCTTGACAGTGCTGAGACTTTAACCACCACCAGGGAGACCCTATACTAAATACTTTTTAAGGCCATATTCACATTGTATCCTCAAGAGTAAGACTTTTTAAAAAGAAATCAGCTAAAACTTGGTAGACAATTATTTACTTTCCCACATCACAGATTATGGAGATGGGGGCCAAGTCTTGGATCCCCTCAGGAAAATACAGCGCCCTGAGTGGCTGTTACATCTTAGGGAGAATATCAATTTCTGGTCACAGCATTAATAACTCCTGGTTAAAACTTCTTTGGGAGAGGCAGACTCTACTCAGAACCACTATTTTGGTACAATGAGCGGCATGTTTTCCTTAGAGTTATGCTAACTTCTTAGCTGTATTGCCTTCAGTTTGTGCTTAATACCTCCACGTGTTCTAGGAGTTCAGCTATGTTGAAGATACACCAGGACATTTGTTATATCTTTCTCAATTTTATCATATTCCTTATTATTCATGTTTTTTCTTTGAATGAACTAGCCTAATTTTTCAGAAGTATGCTTTGTAGATATTCAGTTATCTGTCCAGCCACACATATACAACTTTGCAAATGGAAACAAATAAAAACCGAACAAACAAAAATCACTGTGTTTTTACCATTTTCTTTGATGTCCCTCACTTTCTTCTACTCTCTTCCAGAATGGGAAATATTGCAATAATGCATTTGTCTGCTAAACTACATTAAAAATGTATTTTTTCCTATTCCCATCTTTAGAGTGTGAAATTGCTATCTCTAATTGTTTTGGTCATAAGGAAGTCACAAAGGAGACAAGATTTAAACAGGAGACATCCCGGTGACAGGCAGGGGGGAAGTATACCATAAAAGCATAGATCTCTACGATGAGAAAAAGTTTAGACGGATGGGGTAGAGGCCAGTGAGATATCAGTGACCTCAAAGCAATTTGAATAAGTAGGCAGAACCTTATAGGCCTCATAAAAGTGTGATTTTTTGTTCTAATAGCAATAAGAAGCCACTGAATGGCTTTAAGCAGAAAAGTAATATTAAAATATCACTGGTTACAGTGTGGTTAAGGGACTGCAGAAACAAGAGTAGCAGGGGAAGGGCTAGTTAGGAAGCTGCTGATCTTGCATAGGTCAGTAATGGAGGCTTGTGGAAAGGAGATAAACAGAAGCAGATGTAGATTTGGTGATGGGCTTGATGAGTTAGGTGGAAAATGATAGGGGAAAAGAAGATGTTAGTAATGACCTTGGTTTCTCTGGCTCAAGCACCTGGAGAGAGAGGGATTATTTACTAAGGCGTAGAACTTACAAGGGGCAGAATGGAGGTGGGTAGGAGATCAAAAGCTTGATTTTGGACATATAAAGATTGATATTATCAATCTTATCTCTGATATTATCTCTGTGTGATAGCCAAGTATTAAGTAGCATGGCTGATATAATACCACAGTTGACAAATGGGGTAAGTGTTGGAGAGAGAGACTTGTGAATCATTGGTATATTCATAGACAACATTTGAAGCAATGGGAATGGAGAAGATTATCTAGGAATAGGTAATCCTTCACATTTAGAGACTTTATTCTGGAGGTCCTACTCCTTCTGACAGTTATAACTACACAGAACAAGTTCATTCTCTAGTTTCGTGGTTTTGTATTATTACATAAGACGCTGTCTATAAAATTATCTTCCTTTTCCCACTCTTCCATGTTTTAGAATAGGACAAAAAGTCCCATGAAAAGCTAAATAGAAAGTTTACTAAAACAATTCTTAGCCATCTCCTCTCATTCTTATTCTTCTTCCTAGTCAGGCTCTATCACTCTAACTTTGAATTAGTATATACATGAGCTTTGTTTTTTCATTCTGCAAGTATCTGTTTCACTCACTGTGTGTGACTGAGCGCGCGCACACACACACGTAAATGCACACATACCCACATTCTTTTCCTTAAACATGTGCTTAGTCATGGCAAATGAAATACAAACTTCCAGAGGGCAGATACCATGTAAGAGAAGCTGGTCTGATACATTGATCAGTAGCTATTTAATAAATATTGCTGTCTGCTAAGGACATTAGGAGCTACATAAATATATTGGATATAGGGGTCTCCCTGGTGGAGCAGCGGTTGAGCGCTGGGTTGCAAAGTTGCCCGCAGCCTCTGCAGCGCCAGTTCGATCCCCGGCCACCAGAGAGGGTCCCACATGGCGCGCAGATCTCTCCTGCCGCCCGCTCCTCCCCTCAGCAGTGTACTTCATCAGTCTGCCTGTTCTGTTCCCCACTTTGGCTCTGGTGAATCCTCTCATCCTCCCGCGCTTCTGACTGTACCCAGTGCTTGTATAAACAAACAAACAAACAAACAAACAAATAAATAAATAAATCTAAAAAAAATTGGATATAATGGTCTATTACATTTATTTTTTTTTGGTGCACTCATTGCATATTTTGAAGTCAACTTTTGCTTTACAAATTCTAGCGCTGTTTATTTTACTATGTTTCAGATATAAGACTTTCAACTAAAATAATTAATCTATTATTTTTATTATAAATGTTTAGGTATAAGTGGCATTCACTTTTGATGTGCTGAAACTATAACTCTGCCTAATAAAGATCTGTACTTAATAATCCCCATTATCTATTCAAACATCTCTACTAACATATTTGTAGATAAAGTCACAACAGTTTATAAATTTGTTAGGCATTAACTGAACCATAATTCTATGGATATTAGAACTTGGTCTATAGGCAAGGGATAATGCCAACAAATGTTGAAGGCTTTGTCACTTGCATATCAGTCAGCGTTGGAATTCTAAAATGGCACCTTGTGATAAGAGAATATAACATGACAAAATTCTATTCCTAGCCCTGGGACAGAATGGCTACTTTGATCATTTTGATACAGTGTCCACCCAAAAATTAAAACAGAATTGTTGCATATCATGAATTAATGACTTTCTTTTCCCATCATAACTGATGAGTTGCTTTCTAGAAAAAGCATGCTGTAATGTTGACTTCATTGATGAGCGAAAACAATACATTTCTTTTGAAAACAATATAATCTTAAACAGTCATAGAAATGAAATTTGCATTTGTTGGCCTAATGTTCATGTGACCTATGAAAGATCAATTTAGAAACATAACAAATCCTGGGATTCTAAGTCAATGCAAAGACTCTCATATAGTTCCAGATAGTAGAGGGGTTTTATTATAGGCATTCTGAATTAATTTTTAGTTGTTAACCTTACATAAGATTTTTTATTCATTGTCAGCAACAATTATTACCTTTCATGCTGATCCAATAAAATGAGTTTATGAAAACATGATTTGGAAATATTAGCACAGGGACAGCCATATAAATGGATGCAGGAAGAAATTAAGTCCATGCTGAGCTTTAGCTGTTAATAGTGGGAGAATGATTTTAACAAGAAAATATTGTTAACATTCTTGTTTAAAAAGCATACAAGAAAATTAGACCACAGGCAATGCATGTTAGATTACTGCATGTTTTGCATAACATAAGCCAAGCTATAAGCACATAACAGCAGAGGTGCAAGAGAAAGGATTCTATTTTGCAAGAAAATTTTCAAGAGCAGAAGAGTAGCACAAAAGAAATACCTTAAGATCTCGCCTTTCCAGATGCAAAAGTTCAGCCCCTCTGATGTCATGACGAATGAAGATTTCTTTGTATTCTCCCAAATTGAGCAGATCCAGCCAAGCAGCAACTTCCTCTGTGCCCCATTTCTGAACTACCAAAGTTAAGAGCAAAACCCCCTTAATTTCTACATGCTCAATGCATTACAAAGCAAAGGTTGGCCAAAGAAGATGCAAACTAGAGTACAGCAGCAGCAGTGCTTGCAAAGGAGAAGGTTAACAACAAAACTGTAATTCCATTTTTCCATGCAGGTTGTGGACATCATTCAACATAGCACTCTGACTACACAAAGACATTCACAGCTGTGTACCCGTGCCTTTAGCCTTTAATCAATTTCATTCGTAAAACTACCCAAACTACATAATATGCATAAAAATGTATTCCTCATGATTTGGATCAGTAGTGCAAGGTCTATATAAGTGTTGATGATTTTCTTAAGACCATCTACGAAACTAGTTGCAAAAGAGCTACAAATGCTAATTCATAGTTAAAATCTGACAAAGTATGCAAATTTACACAGATTTTTCTGTTTCAAGTTTTGCTGATTTCATGCATTGCTTTTTTTTTATTCTAATACTATTGATAATTATAATTATTGGCAAGTATAGTAAAATGTTGATAAATCAATTTAACGTCATTTAAAGACTTAATTCTGCTAAGATAAGGTGGATTGTTAATTTTCAGTATGTAAAATCATTCCTTTATACATTTTACTGCACATCAATTTAATAAAAGCCTATTTATTTGCAATATTTGACTTTAACATGCCCTTCATAGCTGTTTTATGATTGTCACAAATAAGGACATAATGAGAGATTTTAAATGAGAGATTTATAGATTTAATTAAAAGAGATTTATAGATTAAATTAAAGATTTATAAAATGATCTGATTCTGAAAGGCAACTGCCATCATATACACAAAACTTGAAGGTGCTTTTGCACTATAACAGTATTATAAATTAATCTCTAGAGGAAAGCAGAATGGGGACTAGAAAGAGAACAGCAAAGAGAGGAACTAATCTTTGACACAAGTGTCAAAGTGGATTGTCATTCAGGGGTTGAAATGGTGTAGCACATCCTTAAACAGGAGAAAGAGAGTAATACATTTTTAGGTGGAGAATATATTTAGTGAGTTAAAGGAATAAATGAAAGTTTCTATGTTCCTTTTATCAACATAATCCTGATTTTGAACACTGAAGAAGAAAAACAAGTTACATGCTGATGCCTTGAACTGCTGTTGTGTGAGATAAAGAACCATCTAAACAGAGGCACTGACACTCACCCAAGTCAAAGCAACCAAAACTACCTGGCTGCCTCCTGTGCTTCGTAATTGCAGCTCCCTGCTGTTACCTGGACATACTTTAGGGATGATGATTTTTAAAATTATTATAAAGTGAATATAAAATAAAGTTCACCCTTTGGACCATTTTATAGTATAATATTCATGGCATCTATTACAATTTTGGCAATGATCTTCTCTAGCTAGTGATCTCAAAGCCTTGCAGCACCTCACTGATAGCACTTTAATAAGATATTTTTCCCATAATGTTACAGTCTTCCTCCTAGTATGGACCACCTACCAGACTGGGAACTTGTCTTCTGCTTCTGAACCTTTTCCTTTTTAAATTTTGGCACTATGCGAAATACTGTGCTCCTGTTGTTTCTCTTGGTGCAATCCATAGGAGGCTCCTGTCAAGATGAGCAAGAAAAACATTTTCTCAGGGTATACACACAATATAGTTGAACAGTGTTAACTTCTTCAAAAAAAATTCATAATAGGGCCTCCCCGGTGGCGCAGTGGTTGAGTGCTGGCTGCGAAGCTGCCCGCAGCTTCTGCAGCGGCAGTTCGATCCCAGCCACCGGGGAAGGTCCCACATGGCGCGCAGACCTCTCCTGCCGCCCGCTGCTCCCCTCAGCACTATACTTTGTCTGTCTGCCTGTTCTGCTCCCTGCTCTAGCTCTGGTGAATTCTCTCACCTTCCCGCGCTTCTGACTGTACCCAGTGCTTGTATAAATAAATAAATAAATCTTTAAAAAAAAAAGTTCATAATATTCCATGACACTGAAAATGTACTAATTCCTGTAGGATGCCTTTGTTCACATAAAAGCCTTTCCTCACTCATTCAAGAACAGAACATTTGAGAACAGTAGTCACAATTTATTCTTTTTTTTTTTTTATTTTTTATTTTTTTTTTTTAATAGAGGCATGCTTTATTTATTTGTTTGCTGGTTTGTTTGTTTGTTCTGTTCATACATGCACTGGGTACAGTCAGAAGCGCGGGAGGGTGAGAGAATTCACCAGAGCCAGAGCGGGGAGCAGAGCAGGCAGAAGGACCGAAGTACACTGCTGAGGGGAGCAGCGGGCGGCAGGAGAGGTCTGCACGCCATGTGGGACCCTCCTCCGGTGGCCGGGGAGCAGCCGGGGATCGAACCGGCGCCGCAGAGGCCGCGGGGCAGCTTCGCAACCCAGCGCTCAACCGCTGCGCCACCGGGGAGGCCCCACAATTTATTCTTTTATCTATTTTTCAAAAGATATGTTCAGATTCTATAAAGAATCATAAAGTCAACCTCTAGAAAGAAACAGAATTTTACATACCTCATCCTCATTTGGGTGCAAAATATAATAAAGCCAAGGGATCTCTGTTAGTTTCTGTAACTCCACCTCCACAGAATGTAAGGCATTGGATACACGCTCTTCATGTGGTGATTCCAATTGCTATTTACCAGCGGATTAAACGACAACAACAACAAAAGAGAAAATAAATAAAGCAGGTTCAGTGACAAACCTCAACTAGAATAAATTGGTTGTTTTTTTTTTTTCTTTTTTGTGGGACCCTCGCTGGTGGCCAGAAATCGAACTGGCGCTGCAGAGGCTGTGGGCAGCCTCGCAACCCAGTGCTCAACCGCTGCGCCACCAGGGGAGACCCTAGAATAAATTGCTTTGACTGTGAATATCTCATCGCTTAGCTTGGTTGTTTTCTTTTTATATAAAGAAATAGCAGGAGGGCCTCCCCTAGTGGCGCAGTAGTTGAACACTGGGCTGCAAAGCTGCCCGCAGCCTCTGCAGCGCCGGTTCGATCCCCGGCCACTGGGCGAGGGTCACACATGGCACAACAGACCTCTCCTGCCGCCCGCTGCTCCCCTCAGCAGTGTGCTTCGTCAGTCTGCCTGTTCTGTTCCCCGCTCTGACCCTGGTGAATTCTCTCACCCTCCCGCGCTTCTGACTATACTCAGTGCTTGTATAAATAAATAAATAAATCTTTAAAAAAAAAAAAAAAACAGGAAAAAAAACACTTTTAAATTGAGCTAATTAAAAAAAAATCTGCATAGCTTTATCTTTATTTCTCAAAGATGATATAATGCAACTTTGATCATTTCACAGAAAAATTATTGCTTTTGGTATTTTTTCTATGTAAGCTCTTCCACTCTCTCCCCTGCCTCCTTCATTCTTGCTCATCCTTCCTTCCTTCTCACTCCACGCATCCATTCACCCATTCTGCCTGCTTACATTAGTGAGTAATCTCATTGTTCTACTTATTTGTAGCAAAAAATCCTTTTGATTTTCATAGGTCACTATGTGAATAAGTAATAGCATTTAAAAAAAGGGTCAAAAACATGTCATATAGATCCAGCAAGTCCACTCCTAGGTGTTTACCCAAAGGACACAGAAACATCAATTCCAAAGAGCACCTGCACCCCTATGTTTATAGCAGCACTGTTTACAATAGCTAAGCTTTGGAAACAACCCAAATGCCCAAAAATAGATGACTGGATCAAGAAGATGTGGTACATATATACCATGGAATATTACTCAGCATTCAAAAAAGATAAACACATGCAATTTGCAGCAACATGGATGGCGCTGGAAGGGATCATGCTCAGCGAAATAAGCCAAAAAGAAAAAGAAAAATACCGGATGGTCTCACTCATAACAGGACTCTAGAAAACCTAAATATCAACCAGGAAAAAGAATAACTATAAGAAAGAAAAAAATCAAAATCAACAAACAACTATGAAGCAGAGACACTCTTTGGGGGAGGAAAGGAGGGATTGGGTCAAAATCGGGGTTGCAATTGTATGGGGAATATAAAAATAAAAAAAAAAACATGTCATATAAAAAGAAATGCTTGTCATAAGAATCTCGTAGAGAATTAAAATAATAGGTTTGGGAAGAAAAAAACAACCACCATGAATCTCAGAAAAAAAAAAAAAAAACTGTGATGAAAAACTGTGGTGAAATTCAGGACAAAGCTAAAAGCTAAACTTTGTTATCTGGAGGGAAGGTCTGGGGTACATTCAGGTGCACCGCCCTTGGATGGGGGGTGAAAACATTAATGAGAATCTGACTGGTCATCTGTTGTCTACACTAACCCCCCTGAAATAGTTATGGAAAAGCAAGGACAAATTTAATTAATGAATAAAAATGTGAAACAAACACTGTTAGGTATAGAACTGGCAGGGAAGTGGCCAGGTTGTCGTCCAGGCCTTGTTATTAATGATCCATGCAAACAAAGAGGGGTTAATTAATTTCAGGAGTCATAGCTTCCTCCTCATTAAGTATAGATTGTGTTTAGATTATTTCTAAGGTGTCATCCAACTATTCAGTACTTTTATAAATTACGTTAAAATTGTAGAGAACTTACATATAGTTTCACAGAATTTTAAACTGAAAGTTCAGAATGTTACTGTTTTTTTGTTATGGACATTATTTTGCCCCCTGTTATTCAATGTAGCTACCATTTATATAATAAAAATAAAATATGGAGATTCTCCACCCTGTCATATAAAGTTTACCACTTTCCTTTTAGTCTAAGAATATGTGTTATAAAACTGATATAATGGTTATTACATATTTATCCTGGCAGCAAAACGAAGAGCAAATTTAGGCGCTCTCAAATATTGATTCTCTATTGTCCTATCACTATTGTTAATGATTTTGACACATTCTGACTGAAACACCTATATTTGACAATGATGGAAGACCCATCAATATTAACATAATAGGTAGATATTAATCAAGTAACACTTAATGGGTACTTTCAGTGTAAAGAACCAGAACAGAATTAGTTAGATTTCTAGTTGTCATCAATTAGAAATTACCTTAAAAGTATTTTAAATAGGGCCTCCATAGTGGCACAAGGGGTTAAGCACAGCACTATGAAGCAATCTGCAGCCTCTGCAGCACGAGTTCGAACCCCCAGCTGGCCAGGGAGCTACCCACATGGCACAGCACACCTCTCCTGACTCGCCTGCTGCTCCCCTCAGCAGTGTATTTTAGTCAGTCTGCCTGTTCTGTTCCCCGCTGTCTGGTGAATCCTCTTACCCCCCGCATCTCTGGCCTATACCCCAGCTCCTGTATGCATAAATAAATAAATCCTTAAAAAAAGTATTTTAAATAACACAAAGTGTATAGTTTCTCTGTTCCTCTACTGGGACCAATGTCACGGCTCACTGGATTTTCTATAGTACTTACAGAAGGACAGCAAGAGGATTCTAATAACCAACTACAAAGAAAATATTCCTATTGTTTTTATCAAGAGAGAAAATGAATGTTTCTTCCTAAAAGTTTTTGGTTTTTTTCATGGTCAAAGCAGAGACAGTTGCCTCTTGATGCAAGGAAGTTTCAATTCAGTTTCTTCTGCAGGTGGGTGAGCAATGGATTTCATGTACTTAAACTTTGATTTAAGTTTTCTTCTCAGATCAAAAGATGCTCCAAGGAGAGCACTTTTCTGGACCTCAATCAAACAGAAATTCCAACCAGAGTCACTTATTAGTGAGACTATTGTGACACACATCTCCTTTTCCCACTGTGCCAGATGTGATGACTTTTACTATCACTTCTAATTAGGTATTTATTTTTATCAAGCAAGAGATAAAATTATAGTCAAGAGAAATGTTTTAAGAGCATCACTTATCAATTACTCAGAACTGTTACCAGAAAGAAAAAACAATAGTTAATGCACTAGGCTTTCTACAATCACAACAGCATGTGTGGAGAACCCACAATTGAACCACTAGGTGGCGAAAAGACCTTATATAGAAAATGGTGAGGGAAGGTTGACAAGGCAAAGATTCTAGGTAAATCAGGACATCGATAGGCTTCTAGCACTTAGACCTCAGACCTGTGGATTGTGTTCAGATTCAGATTTGATTACCAACATCCATCGGAGTCAATCCAACGATACAGCTAGTTCTTGAAATTTAGTCCTTGAAACACTGATTCTAGAAAATGTCATTTACTAAGCAAATCTAGAGCACCATTATCAATCATATTTCAAGACCTATGATTTTCCCTACTATACCACAACAATGAGTTAATGAGAATCTGAAGAAAGTTTACTGTAATTTATAAAGCTCAAATCTCTTAAATGTTGATTGTGGAAATTTCATAGAAACATGATGGTATGTGTGAGAGGAAATCTCTCTTCCTCCTGTTAGCCTGATTCATAACTTCTAGGTTTGGCCATATGTTTTCTTGGAGGCAAAAGCTAGGTGAAGAGAAAGCTCCTCTGAGCTCTTCTGAAGGAAGCCAGCAGGCTGCTTCGGCTGGCATTCGAATCTTACAAATGCGTGTTCCCTAATGAAGGTAAGACTGATATATTTATTTCATCACTGTAATGTTATCAATCATTTCTCTTCCTTACCAAAGGAACTCTGCCGACTAGTAAAGATTCTGTTTCATTGTACAGAGCCTTCACATTGATGGCTATTTCAGTGGCGGTGTCTCTTGTAAGACTCTAGAAAAAAGACCAAGGACAAGTAGTTCTGTATTAAATCAGGATTCAGTCATTAGTAAATAAATTTTATTCTCACAATTTAAATTTCTATCCAAGTAATTTTTTAAAAATCTACCAAAATTCTATAATAACTCTAAAATTCTATACTTAAATTTGTTAGCATGATTATGTCTTCTAATTCTCATCTCACAGAATCCAAAGAATGCACTGACTGTTATGAATACATGCAGGATCACATCTCCTACCTGGACATATGTATTTCTAGCAACAATATATTCCCATGAAAAGTTAAGTCAAGAAAATTATTTCTCAAAAGACCTGAACATAATTAGGTCTATTTGCTCTTTCACTCTTTGTAGTCCCAGCCAGATTGGTTTTTTTTTTTTTTTTAGATTTTCATTTCATTTTCAGGAATAGCATTTAATTGTATATTAATTTAGATGACTGAAACTGAGTCATTAAAAGAATAAAGTAGGCTATTAGTTTTCTTTATGACACATGTGACACATTTCAAGGCATTATAGTCTATCTGTTCTGCTATTAATGTCTATGTTAAAAAAATTACTAAATTGCCACTTTAAACAAAATGAAGTAAGGATAATTTCAGGGCACAAATTCAAAAGCAAACAACATCTCTAATAAAATGTAGCATATCAAGGCTTGCCCTATGTCAAGGTACAGGGGAGAAAGTCAAAGGCGTTAAAGGAGAAATGGTAGGAGTTAAAAGATATAGGGAAGAAGAAAAACAGCAAGGTGACCAGTGACTGAAAGTGAAATAGAAAATGAAAAGTGAACAGAATTTAAGAGCCATAATGGAAAAAAATGGTAGGAAAAGGAAAATAAGGACAAATTTGGCCACAAATTTACTATAAGCTTATGGCAGAGACTCATATAATGTTCTTTCATAGGGCATGGCATATTTTCTAGTATTAAAATAAAGATGCGATTTCAAAAAAATCTGTGGAATGAGATTTCACCATTACCCCTCACCTCTGGAGCCCGTGGGTTAGCTTTATTCAGTGCGTGGGAGCATGCGTTCACCGCGTGGGCCAGCTCCTGCTCCAAAAGACAGTGAATGGTAGCTGCGTCACAAATTCTAAAAGCAAAAATGAAATGAATGAAAAACTTCAAGCATTCCTGATCTTTCTAAAGTGTAGAAGTGGTAGAATAACATAAGTAAAACAAGATCATTAAGGGAAATTAATTTTTAATTACTCCTCAGTTGTGAACGGTACAGGTTACATTTACAAAATTCAAATCTAACTGCAACAAAGAATACTAAACCACAAGTCTTTACATTAAAACTTATTGGGTCCTCCTGGTGGCACAGGGGTTAAAGACAGCGCAATCAAGGGGCCTCCCAATGGCAGTGGTGCAGCGGGTTGAGTGCAGCGCTGTGAAGTTGCCCGCAGCCTCTCATTGCCAGTTCGATTCCTGGCCAGCCAGGGAGATGCCCACATGGCATGGCAGACCTCTCCCGCCTCACCCACTGCTCCCCTCAGCAGTGTTTTCAGTCAGTCTGCCTGTTCTGCTCCCTCTCTGTCTCTGGTGAATTATCTCACCCTCCCATGCCTCTGGCCTGTACCCCCATTCTTGTATAAATAAATAAATCTTTAAAAGCGCTATCAATCTATGGCCAGCCACTTTAGCATGAGTTTGATCCCCCCATGCTGCAGGCCAGGGAGCAACCCACATGACAGAGCAGACCTCTCCTGCCTCGCCTGCTGCTTCCCTCAGTAGTGTATTTCAGTAGATCCTCCTATTCTGCTCCCCACTCTCTCTGGTGAATCCTCTAATGCCCCCCAGCACCTCTGGCTTGCACCCCAGTTCTTGTATGCATAAATAAATAAATCTTAAAAAAATAAAAACTATTGGCTTAGAATCAGAAAAAAAACATTGAAGCACTACTTAGATTGTAACACTTGATTCTGCATCAGCTTTGGAAAGTGAGAGCATTTCCAAGTGTAAAGAGTAGAACTTATCTTTTATTCACTGACACTGTTAACTATGAACAAATACAAGAGGTTAGGGGAGCAGCATGGCCATATTTAATCATCTATGTATAAATGCTTTATAAACATTAGCTATTTTCATAATCTTAAAAGGTAGCTATAATTAATTTTCTCCCCTTTACAGATGAAAACACTGAGGCTCAGAGAGATTTAGTATGAACACAAAGCTAATAAATGATAGAATAAGGATTTGAATCTATGTCTTCAACTCAAAAGCCTGACGTGTCACAGTCCTCTGGAATTTCAACTTTCAAAAATAGTCCTGGAAAGACATAATCTTGCAAGGTACTAAGGCCAAAGAAGAGAAAAGAAAAAAAATCCATCAATTGCTAGAAAATAACACAAGGGCTGCAAATGAACAATAAAGCAAGACTATTCAAATATTTTTTTCTTCTGGCCTCTTCAAGGGAAATGACCTTCAATCTGGAAAGGGTAACGAGAGCAGAAACCTATATATATACAGAGCTGAATCAAGAGTAAAGGCAAAGTTTAATTCTTAAGGATCACAAATTGTTATCCAAGTCAAAAGGAAACTGCAAATGTTTAGCATTCTTACCAATAACTTTGAGGAATCATGAAGAATAGATTATTAATAAGAACAGAAATGGGTAAACGTCATCTTAATTTGCAAAGAATGGGAAAAAGGTAGATCAACTTCAGAGCAACATTTTCAACTGCCTATCAAATTTCCCCCTGAATATTTCTAATGTAATTAAAATTCTGTAAGTTCAATATGGAATCCATCGTTTTCTCTCTCAAAACCTACTCCTTTTCATGAACCTTGTGGCTCCAACAATCCATCCAGCTCTTCACTAGAAACCTGAGGGTCATCCTGTCCCCTAATTCATGTCCATATACAAATTTTAGATCCTAACCTATTTTAAATCTCTTATTTCCTTTCCATGCCTACTGCATCAATTCATCATTTCCTATTAAGACCTTTTTGACAGTGTTCATCTGGTCCCAACTTTGCTGTCCTGCAGACAATGATCTATGTTGCTTCCAGAAACATCGGAATAAAAATTTGTCACCTCCTCCCCCCTCCATCCACATTTCCTATATTTGTGCATACCCTATGTCAATATTTTAGCCCCAAACTCCCTGAGTTTTTCTGAAAATACTATATACTCACATGCCACTGTGTCTGTGCCCAGGTTGGCTCCCACACTTAGTTTTTTCACTTACTCCCTTAAGACTCGACTGAGAGGCAGCTTCCTCCAAGCAGCTCTCCCTTAGTTCCTCTAGCCTTCTCTGTGTGTCCACATCAGACACACACTGATGTGAGCCTTGTAACAGTGCTTTGGCTACACTTTCCCCTTCTACAGCTCTAAGAGTAAATTAAGAAAAGGGACTACAACGCAGTCACTTTGGCATGCCCATTGCCGAACATGGTCACTGGCACACAGAAGAGATTCAAAATTATTTGTGGAATAGTGAATGAATTAATTCTCAAATTGACAAGTGAACTTTTGAAAAATTAAATGTATAAATGGGGAATCAAAGTAGGCTGATCAAAAGCAAGTCTGGCCAAACTCCCCTTTCTTTTTTTTGATAAGGATATTTGACAGGATGATATAGGAAGTACATTTTGGTCTCAAGGGGTTATATTTTATTTTATTTTATTTTATTTTATAAATATTTTACATCATTCTTCATTTTTGTACAATGTATGCTCTCTCCTCTCAGGTGTAGTCCCCATGAAATTCCCACCACCAATTCAAGCATGTCCCACCCCCATAGTCCCTTGTGCTCTTCCCATCCCTGTTCTAATCCTCCTTCCTCCTCTTCCCCTACAGAATATCTCTGATTTATAGTTGCCAGTTAAAGGGATTATATTTTAGTTTCAATAAAATACTGTGGTTATAGTTTCAAATTTGTAGAAATCTCGATACTGTTTTGCATGTGTTAATTAGCTTGATTATGTCTCAATGTCTCAAGGGGTGTCACAGTCACCCCTTACAGACACCTATTATGAAATGTAAATACAGCTGGAAAAAAGGCAAAAAGTAAAATAAACCCAGTCTAAATTGGAGTATGTAAAAGTTTTTTTGTAATATCTAAAAAGACATATTTACCCAAAAGTAAATTATCTCTGTGGACAGGAAACTGAGATGTGCAATAACAAGGTTATGTGGATTTAGCTCACTTAACCTTCACTTTCCTTTCCTTTTCTTCCCACGTACTCAGTAACTTGCAGTTCATTTTACTTTTTTCTAATTCTGAATGCTGGTTTCCAGCAGCAGAAAGTGCCTTCCTTTTCTCTTTTGTCTCTTAATATCTGAAGAGGAGGAGAAGTAAAGAGAGAAGGGGAGCAGGTGGCGAGTAAGAGGGAAGAGAAAGGAGGCAAGTTAGCCCCTCGTAGCACTAAGCTTTGGTTTCCTTTTTTTTTAAATTTATATTATCTTATTTATTTATTTATTAATATTTTATTTTATATAATTCTTACATCATTTTTCATTTTTGCACACTGTATGCATTTTCATTTTGGTTATATTCCCCATACAATTGCACCCCCCCCTTATTTTGACCTTAGTCCTTTTTTCCTTTTTCAACAGTTCTGTCAGTGCCCAGATGAGGTGGGAAAAGAGTCTAATAGCTTCCATTCACAGACCATTAAATATGCCATGATCTAATCCACTTTACATGGTGGATCTCACCTAACTGGAGACCTGGGGAGGTGACTTGTATTATTCCCATTTGTAGGGACTATCTAGGTGAAGAGGAGATAAAGAAACTTGCCCATGTAATCGAGATTTTTATGTTTACACTCAAAGATTTTTTTTTCTAATCTCTCGCCTTTCTGTGGACTAAAATTAACCTCTTGCAATCTTTGTATTATGTCTTTTGGAAACAGATTCTTGAATCCTTTCCACCCACCTTGAGAGCACAGTTAATGTTTATATTTCTTTCTACATTGTGTATACTTTTAATGAATAATTACAAGGCAACATTTAAATGAATCATATAGTGTAAAAATTGTGGATAGACTGGGGGAATAAACAGTAACAGAAAGAGTACTGTGGTAGGTCAAGTTCATCTGGATTCTGGAATGCCCAGAATCTGTTCTGTAGAGAACACAGGTGTCTGGATGTGTATGGTGGAGAGAATCTGGTGGAGTGCAGCAATTATGGAGACATAAAAGAAGGAGTAAATGAAAAAGGGTAAATGCATCTCTTTTAGATACTCCAAGCAACTGAAATTTAGTTTTAATACTAAAATATTTTAGTTTAATACTAAAAAAAAATTGGCCAAGGCCAGAGTATTTTATTTTTCAAAATTTTTAAAATTTTTTTTTTAAGATTTTATTTATTTATACAAGAGCTGGGGTCAGGCCAGAGGTGCAGGAGGTTGAGAGGATTCACCAGAGACAGAGCGGGGAGCAGAACAGGCAGACGGACCGAAAACACTGCTGAGGGGAGCAGCAGGTGTGACAGGAGAGGTCTGCAGTGCCATGTGGGTCTCTCCCTGGCCAGCTGGGAATCGAATCGGCACTGCAGAGGCTGTGGGCAGCTTCACAGCACTGTGCTCAACCTGCTGCACCACCGGACAGGCCCCAAGGACAGAGTTTTCATAGCCTGAAGCCAGCAGCCCGCCATACCTGGTAATGAGCTCCTCTGCAGCTTGGGAGCACAGCTGCATCTGTGACACCTCTTCTGTTGCCAAGTCAACGGCATGTTGGATGTACAAATGGGTTCGAAGAACTGGTTTACCAGAATCACACTTCTGTTTATCTTCCCAAGATTTTAAAGTGCTTTCAAAAGCCTATTTAAAAATCAGTATTGAAGTGAATTGTTAGTTTACAGCAATGAGGCCCAAATAAACGTGTATTTATAGATTATATGCATGGCTTTGAAACTACTAATGCTTTTTCCTAAAATTTAACATCTCATTAAATAAACTACAAGTAGAAAAAAAGATGTTTTAAAGCTAGATAGTGTAATACAACAAATAAAAAGTAATTGGGGACAATAAACATATGAATGAAATTTTAAAAACAAAAGTTTCAATTTATGCTTCATTTTTACTATTGTATAATAGATGGAATTATGATTGGCAGTCGTATTTGTTATGGGTGTGGCTAATTAAAAATATATATTCTGGAAAAGGCAAAAATATGGACACAGTAGAAAGACTGGTATTGTCAGGGTAAGAAAAGAGAGAGTAATGGTTAGGTGGAGCACAAGAATTTTTAGAACTGTGAAGTCAGTCTGTATGAAGCTACAATGGTGGTGACAAGTGATTACACATCTGTCAAACCTATAGAAAGTACAACACAAAGGCTAATGCAAACTAAGAAATAAAATGATCAATATTGGTTTATTAATAATTACGATACTTGTACCACACTAACACAAGATGTTAATAACAGTGGAATTTATGTGTTTGTAAGAGGAGAAGAGGTGTGTGGGAATAGTATTAGAATGCTCTGTACTTTCTGCTCAACTTCTTTTCTGTAAACCTGAGCAAGTAATAAAAAAAAGTCTTCAAAAAAACTAAATATTTTTTCATAATTAAAGCTATAGCGACTTAAACATCAGGTTTAAGAGACAACTGAAATATTTTCCTTGGTTTCTCTTTCTCATTAACAACTAAAAAACATTTAAAGGCTTGATTAAAAATTTAGAAGAAGGTTTGTGTTACATACCCTGTCCCTTGTTAGCATCTGAGCTCTATTTTTGTGTACAATTTTGATGATCCCTGGAGGCTGAACCCATGCTTCACCATCCACCTGCACTGGGACTCCCTCATCACCAAATATGGTGATTTTTACTGTACGGCACTGAAATAAAACAAGACATTTTAGAGCACAAGTTATCCTGAGAAATTGACAATCTACACTCAAGCTTGGTGTTTAGTCTTTGGTGGAATGGAATATTATGCTTTTTCACTTATGATGATACAGTAACAACTGACATGAAGAGAAAGTCAATAATATAAGGATGGATATCCAATGCAGGGCTCATTTGGGTTAGCTTCCCTCCACTACCAGTGGCCCATGTAGTGAAATTAGGTTTGATTAGAGAAACAAACCTGGGCTATTCGATGATGCTGAAGTTTAATGACCCTTGAAACTGCCATTTGCACACTATCAAATATTGCAACAACTTCCAGGATTTTGTCATCAAATGATGGTGCAGCAAATATCTGAAAGGAAAAACTACTTTATACTTTCACTGATAAAGTTAACTAATAAGTAAGCATTGTAAACTCTGTAATATACATATTTTTACAAATACATAAATATAGCAAGCAGAAAAGCAAATAAATATTAGGAAATTATAGTCCATCACTTAAGGTGTTTAAAGCAGAAAAATATAATAAAAATGGTTTTAAAAGCTCATGTGGATATACTGTTCACGTCTCGCATTAAGCACTCTCTGAACTAGTGAGCTGTTATATTTCTAAATAATTCACCTTGGTACACAATGTATTGAATATCTACTCAGCCATAACTCAGATGTCTTGATAAAATGATATACATAATTTTAGGACCCAAAAGGTGATACAGATTTCATGAACGTGCAAATCACCATTCATTCATTTGATTCGTTCTAAGGGAAATCTTTCAAGGTGTTACAAGTAATATGTGTTTATTACAGCAGTATATGCAATAAGGTTTATCTCTTAATACTAAAACTTTAGAGCATTTTATAGTATGGAAACAGAAAGCTCAGAGAGCAAAATCTTTCTTTCCCTTGATATACCTACATGCATTTCACAAAATCAATCTAAACTATTACTTTGTCCCCTTTTATTCTCTTTTATTACATAATAAATAGTTATGTTTCTGAAAATAGCATTTGCTATAAGGTAGCATTCTATAAAATTTTGACTGAAAATATATAGGATGTATATATGTAAACACTGATGATTTCTTATCATTTTTGTTATCTGATTTCATGGTTTTGAGGCCTATTTCTGCTATTTATAGTATGAACTTTGCATCAGTTTCTTCACTGGTGAAATTTTGATAAAAATTGTGGGAGTTAAATAAAGACAGTGAAGCTCTCAGAACACTATCTGACTACTTAGTAGATGTTCAAGTTTTATTTATCTTAGTCTCACTCATTTTCTCCCTTTAAAATGTTTAAGACAAAACTATTGTAATGACAAACTATTGACTGCTAATGTCAGTTTTTATATTCCAAAAGGATTGGAATATACTGATATTATGAAAACTACAAATACTTTGCAATTTATTTTATACTTTAGTCCTGCCTACTCATGGAAGAGTACTAAGAAAATGGGTAAGGAGGAACCATCATATCATAAGCCTCAAATCAAAGTCACATTCAATATGTGTGACTCTTCAAAGCAAGATCATTATAACATTTCTCACTTTCATTGTTACATATACTTAATGATTATGCCCTGTCTTTTACTTTTTTTTTTATTTTTTTTTTGCCCTGTCTTTTATTTTATTATTTTTAGAACTATTACATTTATTACATTGTCTCTTTTCTTTTTTTAATATAAGTAAGTATTAAAAAATAGCCCTAAACTCCCCTGGCCAAATGAGCCCTCTTGATATTTCTAAATATAAAAAAGATAATGCATACAAAACTTAGAAAATTAAAAGTACAGAAAGATATTTTGGTAAACAGAATAATATCCTCCTCCCTACACCAAAAATGTTCAAGTCTTAATCCCTGGAACTTGTGAATATGTTATTTTACATGGCAAAAGAGACTTTGCACATGTGATTATGTCAAGGACCTCAAGGTAGGGAGATGGTCCTGGATGGTCTGGGAGGAGAGTGAGCAGGGAGAAAATGTAATCACAAAGGTCCTTTAAGGTGGAAGGTGGAAGAAGAGAAGGTCAGAGGCAACATTAGGATTCAAACTGCTTGGTTGGCTTTGATGATGGAAGAAGAGGCCATAAGCCAAGATATGTAGGCAGCCAATAGGAGCAGGCAAGAGTAGGCAATACTTACATCATCCTCTTTAGTTCCACCCCAGAAGTTAGTGCCTCCAGCATAGCTGGGGATGTTCAATACCGCTATTCCTTGCAGACTGGGCAGAGGAATATACTGTCCATCACACTGTAGGTAAAAAGCTTAGAGGTTAGAGTGAAACTACCAGTATGGAAGACACTTGAATACCAAAGGCAAAGGATGATGGAGGAAAAGTGGTAATATCTCATCACCTTCAAATACATTCCTGCATGATAACTTTATCTTACTTGTTTTAATTTAATATTTTCAAAGTACAAATAACCATAGCAGAAATTATTACAGAAAAGCAAATTTTACCTCTTCTTTCCTTCAAAACCAGGCAATATTTTTCTTGAGTCCTTTGTCAGGGCACTTGTGATATTCTCTCTTGTATTATGCTCATCTCTTTACCTATGCGATTGAGGTCATCTCATTTACATATGAAAGTGGGCTCTATAAAGGTGAGCTCTGGGTCCTACTCATCTCATCCAGCACTTCCCTCAATTCCTGCTACTCTTTTGGTGTTATGTAATTTACTAACAACTGGCTAAACTTGAAGCTGAATTTTTCAAGTCAGGTCAAATACCCTTCAAAGGACAAATATGCCCAAAAACATCTTATAGTCCATGCCTTCTAACTAATCACTTAAGTGAAAATTAAATTACCACTTAAATAAGGAAAAAAATATGGCTGGTGAAGTAATTATACATGACATGTGGATAAATTCTTACTGAGTAGAAGGTTTAAACCTTTAAGAGTGCAGATTGTAAGATGTCATACTTAAAAGAGATGCTTTATTTCCAAAAATAATTCTTACATCAAAATAATTAGTTTTATAAAATTTGCATTTTAATGCACAATTAAAATTATCTCCAACCTTTAGAACAAGTGAGAATTAGGTATGAATCCATTTTCAACCATTATATATAACTGAGAATACTTTATACTTGATTTACCCCTACAGGCATTTTTTACAATTCCTTTCTTATCTTTTTCATGAGAACACATTCAGTGGTCCACAAAGTATCCTAGCACCTCAGGCCATTCCTTGCACAAAGATGGTGGTGCTCCATGTCTATGTGTTAAATGAATGAAGTATTTAGTATAATGATAAATGTTTCTGAACCCAAAAACTTGAATAGATATTTTTTGTGCTAAAAAAAAAAAAGCTATCTAGGGCCTCCCCTGGTGACACAGGCAGTTGAGCGCAGCACTGAGAAGCTGTCCACAGTCTCTGTAACACCAGTTCGATCCGGCCAGCTGGCAAGAATCCCACATGGCTCGGCAGACCTCTCCTGTCTCCCCCACCTGCTGCTCCCCTCTGCAGTGTATTTCAGTCAGTCTGCCTTTTCTGTTGCCCGCTCTGTCTCTGGTAAATCCTTTCACCCTCCCACACATCTGGCCTGTACCCCAGTTCTTGTATGCATGAATAAATAAATCTTTAAAAAAAAAAAGCTATCTAAATCATATGATTAACTTAAAGGAAATGGAAAAAATTCCATCAATGTAAATATAAAAGTATCTTTGAATCAATTCAAAGCAGTCTCAAAGATTTTATAACTATACTTTACTTGCAAGAATCATCTGGAAAAGATGAAAACTTAGAAGGAAGTTCTACATATACTGCTGCATTTAGCATATTATGTATCAATCAAAACTCTCAGAATTTAGTGCTTAGTAGCCATTTTATCAAGTCTCATAAGAAAAATATGAGCAGCTCATGAGATGCAATAAATTAACATCACCTGACTCAATAATTTCTCTTGTTTTTAGGAAAAGCTTCAGGAGTGGTACATTCTTTTATAATCTTCTTTAGTTTCCCGCATTTCCATTTGTGGTTCATGATGTTGCAAAATACTATGAAACTGCAGTTAAGCTGGGAAGATGGTGTTTTGAATTCTGTCCCTTATTTCTGAGAGACCTTTGAACTTTCAGAATTTCATTTTGCTCATCTATGAAAAGGGCTAATAATGCTAAGTCTAAGTGTGGCCAATATGCTAAGGTATCAGAAAGCACCCAAAGGAAAGTCTATAAATTTCTTTGTTCAGTCAGAATTACAAGTTAGCGTTTTCATTTTTCTTTTCTTTTTTTTAAAGATTTATTTATTTATTTATACAAGTACTGGGTACAGTCAGAGGCGCGGGAGGGTGAGAGAATTCACCAGAGCCAGAGGGGAGAGTAGAACAGGCAGAGTGACGAAGTACACTGCTGAGGGGAGCAATGGGCGGCACAAGAGGTCTGCGCACCATGTGGGACCCTCCTCCGGTGGCCAGGGAGCAGCCGGGGATCGAACCGGCACTGAAGAGGCTGCAGGCAGCTTTGCAACCCAGGGCTCAACCGCTGCGCCACCAGGGAGGCCCACAAGTTGGTGTTTTTCTAATGAAAAAACACTGGTTTTGAAATTTTGGCACCTCCAGATATTGACTATTTGATCTTGAACAAACAACTTCATTCTTCTGAACAGACTAAAAAAACCTGTTTCATAAGGAATAACTACCTTCATAAAGTGAGTCACTTAGATTCAACTTCTATGCCTCTCTTAGTATAAAGTTGATAACCCCTTCCATTTTTTCCCTTTTAGTGTTTTGTCTCTAATCAAGAGGAATTTAGGCCAAATTTACTCAACAAATGAAATTATTTCTCTATGTAAATAACCTGAAACATCTTTATTTCAGGATATGCTTACCTCAAGTTGCACCCTCTGTTCTAAATTCTTGTATGATCTCTGTAACAATTCCCGGGTTCCAAGGACTCCATACCACATCAAGTTTTTAGTTCGGCTCCTGAAAATACATGTTGGCATGCAATTTCAGTAATTATTTCTTCACTCTCTAAAGGCAGTGCAAGCAAAAGAGATAATAAATGAAATTAAAGAAAAATAGCCTTCATGAAATAAAATTACTATTACTGAAATTACCTGCATTTTTCAGGGTGTTCCTCTCTCTTATTATTAAATTCTAGTGAAATTTTTGCATCTAATCCAATCCCAAAGTAATTGTTCATGACACATTTTTCTGAATATCCATCTCTATGATAATAATGAAAAGCATATAAAAGTCAATTTCAGATTCATAACAATAATTAATTTATACACAAAATATCATTTAAACCATTTAAGCTTCCATTCCTGATAGAAGAAAAACTTAGCAGAGTTTCTGATAGAAGAGTAAAATTTAGCAGGAATCACTTCCTAGTCACATGCCATGTCCCCAACTCCATCGTGTGTGTAATTCTTGGTACATGTGATGTAAAGGGAAGGTAGACAAGGCAGTGCAGGGAGAGGGAGAGGGATCAAAACAGGGGAGGAAAGAGCATGAGGGACTATGGTGATGGTACTCGGGTGATGTGATGGTGGCAGATTTATGGGGACCACACCTGAGGGGAAAAATCAAATACAGTACAAAAATGAGCAATGATGAAAGAAAATAAAAAAGTTTAATAAAAACATTAAAAGAGATAAAAGATTTAACAGTGGCAACAGAGAATTGAGTAAAAGGTTAAAAATCTGTACTATTATTGATAAGTAATTCATTTTAATATAATCATAACATTAAGTATATTTAAATCTGGATTTTTATTTATTTTTTTTTAAGATTTATTTATTTATTTATACAAGCACTGGGTATAGTCAGAAGTGTGGGAGGGTGAGAGAATTCACCAGAGCCAGAGAGGGGAACAGAACAGGCAGACTGATGAAACACACTGCTGAGGGGAACAGCGGGCATGGCAGGAGAGGTCTGTGCGCCATGTGGGACCCTTGCCAGCGGCCAGGGATCGAACCAGCACTGCAGAGACTGCGGGCAGCTTCACCACCCAGTGCTCAACCACTACGCCACCAGGGGAGGCCCAAAATCTGGATTTTTAATAGAATCCTGAAGAGAGGGAAGGGAAAGAAAAATGTGATAAAATGTTTTTGGTGGGAGGAGGGAAGAAGGTATGGAGGCTATAGATACTGGCTGAGTTTTTAAACTAACAGGAAAATTAAATACACACACAAATAAACATACTTTGTATGTTTTAAGTGTGAGATAGCTACAATGAGTATTATGTACATATATATACGTATTGCAAGGATTATGAGAATATGTGTTGTTTACATAGTCTATTTTTTGGATGAAAAAATGAATGATCCTATCAGTGAAACTAACAAACAATAACAACAAGAACAAACTAAAAAAAAAAACTGATTTATGCTTGCTTTTCTTTAAATTGTAACAAATTCATAGTTCTACCTCCTACATAAATCCTTCACTACATAGACAAATGGGGGCCCATGTAGTCAGGCACTAATACCCCCTTGTTGGCATCATTAGAAAATCTACTACATCCAATGCACTGTTCTAGGTACTGTAGGAATACAAAGAAGTTTAAAATGCAGTACTGTCCTTAAAGACTGTCATTAGAGAAAGGAGATACAATAAAAGCAAAATTAAATGTGGAGGTAAAGCAGGAGGACACATCACAAAAAGAAACACAGTCACCAGAGCTCAATGATGACATGGAAGAACTTCTCAGCCTATCAGATAGAGAATTAATAATCATCCTGATTAAAAAGCAGAAATAAAACGAAAAGGAAAAAAATGAGCTGAGACAAATAATCACTGAACAGAAGAATGAAATTGAGAACTTAAGAAAGGAAAGAAATGAAACACAGGAGATAAAAAGATTACTAGAAGAGATAAAGAACTCTGGGAAAAGCAATGAAAACAGGACCAATGAAATGGAAGAAAGGGACAGTACTATAGAAGATACAGAAATAAAAAGAGCCAAAAGAGAAAAGGAGAGAGAAGTGCAAATGAAGCAGTATGAGGAGAATCTTAGACAATTATCAGACTCCATGAAGAGAGGAAATGTAAGAGTTATAGGCATTCCAGAAGGTGAGGAGAGAGACAAAGGAACTGAGAAATTATTCAAGGAGATAATTGAAGAAAACTTCCCAAGCGTGATAAAGGAGATGAATATAGACATACAGGAAGTGAGAAGAACTCCCAATTACCATAATGAAAAGAAAGCTACAGCAAGACACCTAATAGCAAAGCTTGCAAGAGTCCAAGAAAAGGAAAAAAATAATGAAACTGGCAAGGGGGAAGAAACAGATAACTTATATGGGAAAAACCAATCAGGTTAACTTCTGACTTCTCCAAAGAAACATTACGGGCAAGAAGAGACTGGAGTAACACATTCAGTAAACTTCAAGACAGCAAATGCCAACCAAGAATACTTTACCCTGCAAAGCTCTCTGTCCTCTACAAAGAAAAAATATGGACCTTCTCAGACAACCAGAAACTCCAAAAATTCATTACAACTAAATCCCAACTCCAAAAAATTCTACAAGAAGTCCTAAAGCCAAAACCAACAGAGGAATGAACAAGAAGAACAGAATAAAGTAAGGAATAAAATCACAAAAAAGACAAACAAAATGGCAAACACAGATGCCAACGTATCAATATTAACTCTAAATGTAAATGGATTAAACTCATCAGTAAAAAGACACAGAGTAGCAGACTGGATTAAAAAAAAAAAAATTCAAACTTCTGCTGTCTCCAGGAAACACATTTAACCACAAAAGATAAACACAGACTGAAAGTAAAAGGGTGGAAAACAATCCTACAAGCAAATGGACCAAAAAAGAAGGTGGGAACAGCCATACTTACATCAGATGAAATAGACTTCAAATTAAAAAAAGTAAAAAGGGACATAGATGGACACTACATTATGATCAAGGGGACAATACAACAGGAAGATATAACACTTATCAACATATACTCACCAAATGAAGGGGCACCAAAATATATTATACAATTATTATCAGCTTTGAAAACAGATATTAAAGAAAATACATATATTGTAGGAAACTTCAACACCCCACTCTCACCAATGGACAGGTCAACGAGACAAAAAATAAACAGAGACAACTAGAGCCCTACATAAAGACATAAACTCATGGACTTAACAGACATCTATAGGACACTGCTCCCCAAAAAATCTGAGTACACATTTTTCTCAAGTGCAAATGGATCATTCTCCAGAATCGATCACATACTGGGCCACAAGACAAACATCAACATATACATGAAAATCAAAATCATTCCAACTATCTTCTATAATAGGCATCAAGCTAGAAATAAATCATGAAAAGAAAACAAGGAACCTTCCCACTTTATGGAGATTGAAATCCACACTACTGGAAGACAATTGGACTAATGAGGAGATCAAAGAAGAAATTAAAAAATACTTTGAGTTGAATGACAAGGAGGATACCACTTTCCAGAATGTATGGGATGCAGCAAAAGCAGTAATAAGAGGAAAATATATAGCAATACAGACTCACATCAACAAACAAGAAAGAACTCAAAGAAACAACCTAACCTCACATCTCAAAGAACTAGAAAAAAAACAACAAAAAAAACCCTAAAGCCAGTAGAAGAAAGGAAATAATAAAAATCAAAGCAGAAATAAATGAATTAGAAATTAAAAAAACAATCCAAAAGATCAATGAAACCAAAAGTTGGTTCTTTGAAAAAATCAACAAAATAGACAAACCTCTAGCAAGGCTCACAAAGAAAAAACAGGAGAAAACATGTATAAATAGGATTATAAATGAAAGAGGAGAAATCACAACAGACTCAGTAGAAATCAAAAGAATAATAAGAGATTACTATGAACACTTATACGCAAACAAATTTAACAACCTAGAAGAGATTGACAAATTCCTAGAACAATATAATCATCCAAAGCTGGACAAAGAAGAAATAGAACAACTAAACAGACCAATTACAAGCAGCAAAATTGGAGCAGTAATCAAAGCACTCCCCAAAAACAAAAGCCCAGGCCCAGACGGCTTCACAAATGAATTCTACCAAATGTTCAGCAGTGAATTAGTGCTGATCCTACACAAACTATTTCAAAAAATTGAAAAAGAAGGAATACTACCAAATACATTCTACGAAGCCATGCACAAAAACCAACTCAAAATGGATTAAAGAACTAGACATAAGACCTGAAACCTTAAAATATATAGAAGAAAATATAGGCGAAACACTACATAACATGCACCTCAAAGACACCTTTACAGACACATCACCCAAAGCAGTGATAGTAAAGGCAAAGATCAACAGCTGGGACTACATCAAATTAAAGAGTTTCTGCACAGCAGAGACAATAGCCAAAACAAATAGAAACCCCACTGCTGGGAAAACATTTTTGCACCCAACACTAATGATAAAGGACTGATCACAAAAATCTACAAAGAGCTGATGAGACTCAACAAAAACAAAGAAAATAATCCAGTCAAAAAATGGGCAGAAGAGCTAAAAAGAAACTTCTCTGAAGAGGAAATGCAAATGGCCAACAGGCATATGAAAAAATGTTCAGCATCACTTGCAATCAGGGAAATGCAAATCAAAACTACAATGAGATACCATCTTACACCAGTGAGAATGGCACATATTAAAAAAACCAGCAACAACAAATGCTGGTGAGGATGTGGAGAGAAAGGAACTCTCCTACACTGCTGGTGGGAGTGCAAATTGGTCCAACCACTATGGAAAGCTTTGTGGAGATTCCTCATCCTACTAAGGATAGAGCTTCCATATGATCCAGCAATTCCACTCCTAGGTATTTACCCAAAGGACACCGAAACATTAATTCCAAAGAGCACCTGTACCTGTATGTTTATAGCAGCACTGTTTACAACAGCTAATCTTTGGAAACAACCCAAATGCCCACAAATAGATGACTGGATCAAGAAGATGTGGTACATATACACCATGGAATATTACTCAGCATTCAAAAAAGATAAACACATGCAATTTGCAGCCACATGGATGGAGCTGGAAGGGATCATGCTCAGCGAAATAAGCCAGAAAGAAAAAGAAAAATACCGGATGGTCTCACTCATAGCAGGAATCTAGAAAACCTAAATATGGACCAGGACAAAAAAATAACTATAAGAAAGAAAAAAATCAAAATCAACAAACAACTATGAACCAGAGACACACTTTGTGGGGGTGGGGAGGGATTGGGGTCAAAATCGGGGTTGCAATTGTATGGAGAATATAAAAATTTTTAAAAAGTGAAAAAAACAAGCCAATACGCAAATGGACAAAAAGCTCCTTCAAAAAAGAAGACAAGTTACCTATAGAAATATGAAAAAAATCACATTCAACAGTTAAAAAATTGTCAGTTAAAGCAAACGCATAGGATTACTTAATTTTAAGTTGGCAAATGCTCAAAAATAATCACCAGTATTAATGAAGTTTTGGGGAAAAGGTACTTCTCTGATTTTTTTTGTTTCTCCATGTACCACATGTAAGTGAAACCATGCAGTGTTTATCTTTCTCCGTTTGGCTCATTTACTTAAGATGACCCCTTCTCGATCCTTCCATACTCCCACAAATGGCATGAGTTTATCTTTTTGACCAATGAGTAGTATTCCATTGTTGTATACGTATACCACATTTCCTTTCTCCACTGATGATGATGATGATGATAATGATGCTAATAATAATAACAATAATAATAATAATAATAAAAGTCACTTCTCTATTCTGCAAGGAAAAAAATAAAATAAATGTGGAGGTAAAAGGAAACTGCCAAAAAATGTAGTTTTTTATAAGGGAAGAGATCAAAGTAGGTCAAAAGTTTTCTGGAACAAGTAAATCCAGAAGCTGGATGTGTCAAGACGACAAATTTGGCAAAATAGAAATGAAATGAGTTTAAGTTTGAGGAAAGCATAAAGACAGGTATGAAGGTGCCAATGAATAACATTTCCAGGGAAAGAGAGCAGAAATGTACCTCACCTCCCTCCCCATAAGGTTGATATTGAAAAAAACAGGCTGACGAGGGACAGATCAGGAAAACTACTGCACTTCAACTGGACCAATATGCTCATTGTGATCAACTTTTAAAAATTTTCTGATTATCCCTTTTGTTTTTTTGTTTGTTTGTTTTTTTAAAGATTTATTTATTTATTTGTTTGTTTGTTTGTTTGTTTATGCAAGTACTGGGTACAGTCAGAAGCGCGGGAGGGTGAGAGAATTCACCAGAGCCAGAGCAGGGGACAGAACAGGCAGAAGGCCCGAAGTACACTGCTGAGGGGAGCAGTGGGCAGCAGGAGAGGACTGCGCTCCATGTGGACCCTCCTCCGGTGGCCGGGGAGCAGCCCCGGGGATCGAACTGGCACCGCAGAGGCTGCGGGCAGCTTCGCAACCCAGCGCTCAACTGCTGCGCCACCAGGGAGGCCCTGATTATCCCTTTTGTATGTGAAACCATATTTATTAAAATGTTACCATCAATACAAACAGAAACAAGAAAAGTCAAAACATTTGCAAAAGCATTTTCTTACACTGAATCTGGATCTGGGTCAATAAATGGTGTTGCACCAAAAGGATCAATATTTGCTAGTAACATTTTGTTGATAATAGAACTCCCAGCAATTGAGGCAGCTAGTCCTGCTCTTAAACCTGGCCAGAAAAACAAATACATACAGTATCACATGTAAAGAAAAAAAAACAGAAAAAATCAGCCTGTTTTCAAGTCTAATCTCAAACATCTTACTCCCAAAGCATGGTTTTCAGTACCCTTTCTTTTCTCATTAATCAAAATTAAGAACCACGACATTGCAAATACAAGATTTTTGATGCTTCTTAAGACCTATATATTATTAAAAAATTAAGAAAATCAGGACCTGTTAAGAGTCCCTTAGTGGATTTGTCATTTCCATCCCAGAGAATCTATGACTTCAACAAATGAATGTTACTTCCTTTGTTATAGCAAAGTAAGTATTAAATCTGTAAGGATCTTGGATTAAATATCGAATTACCCAAAATTTCATGGAGTTAGCACTTTCATACTCTCAAAGCATAAATAATAATATTCAATTTTTAAAGTGTAAATAGCTATCCTAAAGTAAAAACTCAGGAATGTGTCAAGAACAAATGGTAAGTTATTAAATGCAGGGATTTATAAATGTTCAAGAACATAGCACTGAACAGTAAAAATGAAGTATTTATCTTACGTGTCACTATGCAACTCTTCAAATTTATTTCATCTTTCCACTAACCACAGTATTCAAAGTTAATGATTTTATAATCCACCCAACCCACATTTCTTCCCTGAAAAATACAATTGCTCTATTTCTTATCTTTACCAATGCCACTTCATCAATACCTATGTTTTTAAATTTGTTCCAATTAATTTTCTTTCTTTTTTTATTGAAGTAACATCACATGCACCAAGGTATTTAATTATTTTTGATGTGGTTGTAAATGAGATTGTTTTCCTGAATTCTCTTTCTCTTAATTGATTATCCATGTGTAGAAATGCAACATATTTTTAACTAATTTTGTACATGATCATTGTTATATTTATTATTGTTAATAGCTTTTTATTAGCATCTTTGGGATTTTCTACATATATCATTATGTCATCTTCAAATAGTGACAGTTTTACTTCTTTTACAATTTAAATATCTTTTTATATATATATATAAAAGATTTATTTATTTATATAAGAACTGGGGTACAGATCAGAGGTGCAGGAGGGTGAGAGAATTCACCAGAGACAGAGTGGGGAGCAGAACAGGCAGACAGACCAAAGACACTGCTAAGGGGAGCAGCGGGCGGCAGGAGAGGTCTGCACACCATGTGGGTTTCTCCCTGGCTGGCCAGGAATTGAACCCGCACTGCAAAAGCTGCAGACAGATTTATAGCACGGTGCTCAACCCACTGTGCCCCTGAGGAGGTCTCTTTATATATTTTCTTGTGCAATTGCTCTTAATAGGGCTTCCAATACTATATTGAAGAGTAGTGGTGAGAGTGGAGATATCCTTGTCTTGTTCTTGAGCTTACAGGAAAAGTTTTCAGGTTTTTGCCATTGAGTGTAATGTCATTTGTAGGTTTATCAAATATGGCCTTTATTATGCTTAGGCATATCCCTTCTATACCCATTTTGTCGAGGATTCAGCATCATAAAAAAAGTTGAATCTTCTCAAAAGCTTTTTCTGTATTTAATGAGATGATCATATGATTTTTGTCTTTTCTTTTGTTGATGTGGAGTATCAGGTTTATTAACTTGTATATGTTGCACCATCCCTTGCATCCCAGGAATAAATTCCACTTGGTTATGACACATGATACTCTTAATGTATGTTGTATTTGATTTGCCAAGATTTGCTGAGGATTTTTGCATCTATGTTCATGAGAGATACTGGGTTGTAGTTTTCCTTTTTGGTGAAGCCCTTGTCTGGTTTCAGAATCATGGTAATGTTGGCTTCATAGAACATATTTGTAAGTTTTCTCTCATTTTGAACTGTATAGAAGAGTTTGGGTGGGCCTTGTCTTTTGTTTTGGGGGAGGCTTTGGATTCCTGTTTCAATTTCCTTACTTTTAATGGGTCTGTTCAGATTTGCTCTTTCTTTCTTATTCAGTCCTGGAATGTCATTAACATTCTTAGGGCTGGTCATTTGCTGTAGCTGGTACAATTTGTTACCATATAATTTTTTGTAATACTTCCTTATGATCCCTTGTATTTCTGCAGTATCTGCTGCAACTTGTTTTCTTGTATTTCTTCTTTTATTTGTGTTTTCTCTTTCTTGTTCTTTGTGTCTAGCTAAAGGTTTATCTAGTTTGCTAATCTTTTCAAAGAACTAGCTTTTGGTTTGTTGATCTTGTGAACTGCTCTTTTCATCTCTATTTTATTAGTTTCTACTCTAACATTATTTCCTTCATCAACTGAATTTTGGTTTTGGTTTTTCTTCTTTTTCTAGTTCCATTATCTGTGAGTTTAGATTTCTTATTTGTGGTCCTTCTTGTTTCCTGGATAGGCCTGTACTGCTATAAAGTACCCTCTTAGTTTTGTTCCTGATGCATCACATAGGTCTTTATCACATGTCTTCATTTCACTCATCTCCAGGTATTTTTGATTTCACCTTTTTTTTCCACCTTTGAGTTTCTCATTGATCTAGTAGTTTTTCCACTGTACATTGTTTATTCTCTACAAATTTATAATTTTCCCTTTCCTTCTTTTGGTTGATTCTAGTTTTATAACATTATGGTCTGAAAAGATGTCTGATAGAATTTCATTCTTCCTAAATTTATTGAGGCTTCTTATGTGTCCCAACATATGATGTATGGTTGAAAATGTTCCACGAGCACTTGAAAAGAATGTGTATTCTGCTATTTTAAGTATTCTGCTATTCTGCTACTTGTTTTAAGTGTTTTTTCAACACTTCTATTCCCTTGTTATCTCTGTTTCCTCTACCCAACATTGAAAGATGGATACTAAACTGTACAATATAAGTTTGAATTGTAATAAATCTTTAAAAAGAACTTGTAGTAGAAAATGGTTTTCAAGGTGTAACTTAAGCTCTAATCTACACTCGAATGCATGGAAAAAAATTTCACTGAGTCAAAAAACTGGTACTTAAGTCAAACAACTGAGACATCTATATTTCCCTCCCTCCCTGCAGCACAAGTTCTTTGGTTTCCACCAGTACCAACCTGGTAAATTCATCTTACCATGGCAGGAATGAATGCTCAGACATTCCAAAGTGAAGCAATATTAGTAGTGTAAAAATAACCACAGAGAGACCTGTGGCTTAAAACTGAAAGGAAAACTGTGGAGATACTTAAAAATAAGTGGTAGAATATAGGGATAAGATTCACCTTAGGTCCTTACCACATGCAGGTTCCTGGGCTCTATTCTAGACCTACTCAACCAACATTTCTCAGGCAGGGCCCAAATACATGTATTTTATTCCTTCCCAGGCAGTTCTTATACACACAAAAGTCTAAGCATCTGGATTCTGGTTGATCAGTATACCAAGAACATTCTCCTAAAGGAACATTTATCAAAATTTCTATAGTTCATGGAAATGAGTACTTACACATTTATACATAAAAACTTAAAAATATACCATTTTTTTCAGAATCTGTACTACCTGGGCAGATTATTCTGGTATTGAGCACAGGGAGGTTTTCTTTACAAGCTGCCACAGTGGGACCAGGGGCAGAGTCAGTTTGGGAACGGCTTGCCCGACCATCTGGAGACCGAGGTGCCATTTTAACTGTTGGCAAAGAGTCAAAATTAAAAAAAGGTAATGAAAAATGTATAAAAATAAGCTAGCCCCTAGAAATTTAAGGCAAAATAATTTAATGCATGTTTGAATTGATCCATGGAACTGAAAGTATTACATTGAATTTATGTAAAAGTATTACATTGAATATTACATGAAATTTTTTACCATTTTGTTTTCATTTTTCTTGAGACTTAGTATATGGAAGGAATTTGCCATAGCTTCCTGACTTGATCATTCATTTCAAATAGAGATGGGTAAAAAGAGATGCTTACCATAACTAAAGATCAATAATAATCATAATTTGAATGTAATCAACCCATAGTTATGATAAAAAAATTTTGAATGTTGATAATTTTGATTGATATGTTGCAATGCATACTACCACAGCAATCCTTTTTTCATAGATGATGAGATCAAATTCAATTAACGTGATTCCAAGAGCTAATATGTAAAACATGAGTTACTATTTTCTTCTATAAATGGAAAGGAAAATAGTATTTTTTTCAAATGAAACCCATATATTTTTTCTGCACTTTTAACTATTCATTCCAAACAATGATTTGCCCAGAACAGTTCAATCACACTCATGGAAAAGCACACACATTTTAAAAATTATTCCAAAACAAAATTACTCTCAAAGTAAATAACAAAAAAAAAAAAAATTAACTCTACCTAAACTGGGACAATTTAATGGAGAGCAAATAATATTTTTAACTAATTAAGGAGCTATTGGCAGGTGTTTAAAAAACACTAATCCTCAAATTCAGTTTAAAATTACTCTACAATTTAATTATTTTTCCTCTTCTTAAGACTGATTACAAATGAAGTATATTAATCTTATGCTCTCTTTTGTCTGTTCAGAAACAGACCAGTTGCACTAAAGAAGTAAAACAGTCTTTCTTCTTTTTGACAGATAGGAGCACTGTGGTTAATTTCCAATCAAAACAAGCTTTTGATATTCATCTGATAAAAAACAGAGATGTTTTTTATGACTAAGACTTATGTTCTGTTGGAGTAACAAAATTAATGTTTCATGGTTCTTAAACATAACATCTCATTGATCATATTAATATTCTGTATCTTGCACATCTCAGACATTACTATATAACTTAGTGTAATACAATTAGTGTGCTTCAAAAATTATGATTTTTTGATATAGACACACTTCTGTTATTACTGATTCCCACACTAAGCTGAATTACTAGCTAAAAATTAGGATCAAATACTGCAGCATTAGAGAGAGTATTGTATAATCTGTCTACTTTTATATCAGTATCTATAGCACTAGATCTGTATTTTTTAATTTCCTTTGCAGATTACAATGGAATTTTCCAGTTCGTGAGAGTATAAGAAGGTGGATTGATAGCTGGTTGGAAAATCATTTGTAATAAGTACTGAAAGAGCAATCCTCCATAAAAGAGGCACTATCTTAGAAGAAATTATAGAATACTATAAAGACCCCACTGTCAGTCCAGCTTGTGTTAACATTTCTAATGGCTGAAATTATACAAGGCCTGCTTATCAAATTCTAGATGAAGTAAACTTGAGATGACAGAATCAAGCTTCAAAATATTTTCACTAGGTGAAATGATAAACCCAAATTGAAAAGATAAAAATGCACACCAATAAATATAATCTCTATAATATGGTTTAAAAAACACTTGCACAAAAACAGTAGAGGAAGTCAGGTTTAATATAATATTAATATATAATACTTCAAGCCAAAGAAGAAATCTTAGGTAGTCTTTATAACATCAAAAATGTCCAAAATGAGTGGTGCGTAGGTATTAATGTATTGCTGCATTACAGAAAAACCTGGCTGATTTTGTTCCAAAGGGGATATCATATTTTAAGATATTTATCAAACAAGTATAAGCAGAAAAAACCAAAGTTTGAAATCATCCAGTTAAAACTTGGTAGAGGAATTTAGGAGAGATAATTTTGGAAAAGAAGACACAAGGTATGGAAAGAGAATGTGGTATCATGGAAACTGCTTATAGTATCACTTAAAGGCTGCTACATGACAAAGTCATCCTCAATATAGTGAAGTATGTATGTGAAGTTGCTTTAGATGAATCATAATGCATTACCCAAATGAAAGTAGTTGTAAGAACATAACATAAACCTTTATTAGTAGTAATGTAACCATAGGTAGAAATTTAAGGGAGAAAAATGTAGTTCAATAAATAAAGAAAAATTTTCTAGCAATTAGAGTCACCATAAGAGTGGGATGGATTGAAAGTGAGGGGACCAAAGGCTCAATAGCCATTTATTCAGAGGGATATAAATATGCCTGCACTAGACCGTATTATGCTCAACAGGAGCACAGAAAGTTAGAAAGATATAAGGTTATGCAATTGAGTTGTGTGTTGGAATAGGTACATATAATATCTCAGCGTTGTGGTTAAGTGCCAGACACATGAAGTCTGTTACATTTGATTTAAGGTGTCTTAGAGTTTAAATACAATCAAGGAATATTCTTTCAAAGTTAATGTAATTAGCAGCATCAGCAGCAATAGCAATAATAATAACAACAGCAAATATCTTATACAGTACTGTGTACCAAACCCTATTAAGAAACATTATTATTATTATTATTTAATTTTCATGATAAGTAGGCACATTATGAAGTAGGTACATTACATCCCCATTTTACAGAAGAGGTAATCAATTCTAGAAAAGTAATCTGCCCATTTTTATATGAAATGAAAGAGGGCAAAAATTTAATGATTGTGAACAGTTCTGATATAATAATGTTGATTTATTTTATTAGGACTATGAAACTCATATTCATGTTATCTTTCTCATCTTTATTAATATCTTAATTTCTCTTTGTCTTTTTCTAGTAAATTAATTTTTTCCTTTTATAATATGAAATGTTAAAAGTATAAATTCATTCTTAATCAAACCTTAAAAGTGGAGAAACAGTATTATTCAAGCAACTGTACTGTTAATTTCCAGCAAAAATAATTTTAGTAGAGAGGGTTGTAATCCTACAATTTTAAAGCTTTAGCCATAAGGATTAGCAACAGCCTAGGATAATCAGCTGAACTTGAGGGACTGCTGAATCATTTAAATGCCAAATTTTATGCAAGTGGGGTCTGCAGCTTTCATACAATTCTCAAAGGAATCTGTGGGCTAATGTAGCATAAAATCGGCTGATTTAGTGGGTGTTTCCTTTTCAGAAAAGGGCATCTAGCCATGCTCAGTCTCTTAACCCCTAGTTTATTGCTATAATCTCTAGATTATATAATAAAAGAGGCATATAAGAGTATCTAACAATAGTCTAATGTTATCTTTATTATTTTAGCTTCTGAAAGGCCTTGTTAAAAATACAAATACAAATAGTTTACTTCAAACTAATAAGTTTTCTGAAAACTAACAGTTAAGTAACATTTTATTTAATTCTAAAACAATTTTATAATAGTTATCTTACCAGCTAATGTTTCTTTTGCATCATCATCTTTAGAATCTTCTTTAGATTCATCTGTTTCTGTACTATCATAATCAAATGACTGATTAACTGGCTCACAGGGGTGAACTGTATGGTCATCCATTGCTTTAAGTAGAAGATAAATATGTTTAGACAAGTAAAAATAAAATTCAAAAATTTTAATGTACACATAGGAAGGAAAATGGAAACAGATGCCAAAAGAAATTCCATATTCACAAATAAATACTTATTGGGAATGAACTTGGGGATGATGTCTATAAATACTAGAGATTATAAAACTAAATAGAACTGTCAAAATTACATTTTTTCAGAAGAAAAACTATTTAAGAATATTTAGAAGAAGAAACTACAAGTCTAATTACAAGTTACAATCTGTAAAGTGGCTTTTGAATATATTTATATAAAAATTAACTTTCAATAAGCTACTAAAATACTGAGGAGTATATAAACATTATGTTAATACAAAAAATTAAAATACATGCAGAACTTTCATAACCTCTTCAAGAACAAAGTAAAAATTTAAGAAAATATGTTAAGAAAATATTTTCAAGTAGTTTATAGGTTTGATTTCTTTAAAAATTTAAGATTCCAATTAAGTAAAAATATTCAAAAAGTTAAAACATTATGTAAACTAACTTTCAGTTTAAGTTCAGTGTTTCCAGTGTACTTTGGGGTTTATTTTATGTGTCAATATGCTAAGCATAAGCTGGATGAATACAAATTTCACTTTAATGACGTCCTTTCTTTCTATCTTGTCTTAAAATAATTCTTGAGTGTGTCCAGTCTGACCAATATCCGCCCACAAGACCATTGCTCTTGCAATAGAAATGCTGCTAACTTCCTCAGGAGCTAATTTTGTTAATATGTACCTTTTGCGGCTTCTTCAATGACTTGCCTCACAGCTTTCTTTAAACTGTTTGCCCGCAGCATTATTTCCTTTGGTTTGACAGCCTTCTGAGAGGAGGGTCTTGTCGTGTCATCCACAAGTTGTTCCTTGCTTTCACACAAGGAATCTTCACTCGAAGATTCTACAGGATCTTCTTCTACGATGACAGGGCTGACCCCAGAGAAATCTGAAGGAGCTTTTTGAAAGTCTGTGTGCAAGGCCTGGAGCAGTTGTTCCAGTTTCTCGTTAAGGACTGAACACTAAGAAACAAAAATTCAGTCACAAATCTCCACTTGGTGAAGGGAAAACAAGTGAATGATTTCTTATTTAAAAGGAAGATGCTTGTTTTGATGTTCACTATTAATTGGAAATCTTATAAATTATACTTTAAACATTTGTGGGCTGAAGAATTTATAATTATATTTTATATGAATTTACTGAACTATACTTCCAGAACCATTCAGACTACATCTCATGGGCAAAAACCTATACTGTGTATAGCTATTTTTCCTTAGATGAAAATAACAATTTACTATAAAGTGACACCTACGCAAAAAATATATACATTATGCAGAATTTGCTATACAGAATTTTGTTATACAAAACTACTTAAAAAATCAACTATGGCACCATTTTGAGCATGTCAATAGCAGGTCTGGCTGTCTTTGCAAGTGTGCCTTCAAAGTTTTGGTTTGCAAGGGTGTGACTAGTGCCTATGGGATTACTGGCTCAAAGAAAGGACAGAAAGGAAAGTGCATAAGGATAAAGAAGAAAAAGAAGGGAGATGCTGAAAAAAGGGAAATTCAACCTTCATTTCTTTGTTTTTCTTGAACTACTGGGGTTCAAAACATTTAGGATTGAAGTTACTGATGCTACAATCTAATACACCTTTTATCTACATACAATTTCCAATTCTCTCCTCTACTTATTTGTCTTTGATGACATGCTAGGAAAAAGTCACAGCAGAAATAGTTAACAGGAAAAAAGTGCGGTTAGGGAGGGTTTCTATCTTCTGAAGCACTCCACAGAGTAGAATAATACTAGAAAGGGAAAATGTCCACATTTACTTCTATTTTCTGTTCTTTTCACTCAACCAAACTACCATCTACAGCATGAATCTGGGGGAGATCATTCCTTTGCAAGACCAGGACAGCCAAGTCTGTTATAAGAAAGTTCTGTCATGAATACATGATAGCAAAGACAATAGCTTTTAAGCCTTGGTAAATAGTTCTTATTTTAGAAAGTTCATGAAGGGGGGAAAAGTATAAGGGAAAAGGCAATGCAAGTGACAGAAATCTGACAGGGACATAATGACCAGATGATTAGGGAATCTGAGGAACCGCGCTGAGAAGGGTCTTGATTGCCAAAATTTGCCTGGAAGGAAAGCCAATCCTCGCCCCACTAGGATACCAGCACCCTGAATCATTCCCTGTCACCTACTATTGTGCATTTCTCCCCCAAGGTGTCAGTGGGGAAAGGGAGCTGAGTTCTAAAATTTGACTTGTCAGATGATCTTCAGCAGTGCAAAATTTCTATATATTAAAAGGTAATCATAAAATAGATCATAAATGTTTTTAAACCCTCATATCTGATGCAAAAGTAATTTTCCCTTTATTTAAAATGTTTTAGCTAGGAAAAGCACTTAAGCAATTTAAATGTAAAATATAATTCAGTGTTAACATTGTCAAAACAGGTCCCTCTTACTTTACTGGCCACAGCATCAGCTACAACAGCATTTTCCAATGTTTTTTCATGTGCCTTCTCTACTTTGGCAACGAAGTCTTTTACAGTTTCACATAGTATCCTTTGAGGAAAAGAAATTGTGAAATTCAGTAATCTCAGTATATTGATTAGTTTTGATTTATACAATCTTTAAAAGAATAAGCATGATTAGGCAGACTGTCAAAATACTGGAATAATTTCTGTATAAACCCATACTTCCACTTGCTGACTAACACGTTCTAGAAAGTTCAAGACATTCTGTGATAAATGGATACATGATCCTTGTGCTACATAAATTAAGTTAAAGAAATTTTTGTTTTATAAAAATCCTTTCCAAATATTTGAAATATATCTTGAGAAGATAATGTTTAGATGCCATTTTTTAAGAAGGGCATTATCTCCTGTGCCTACATATTTTCGTAACAGAAAGTTGTAGCATTGAACAAACAAGGGTAAGTTTGTTACTTATGTTGTCATTGTGGCTTCACTATTTATCACTTGGATATCTTGACAATACATTGTCTTGAAGTGCAAAGAGGCTATTATGTTGGAAAACAACCTGCTACTTGAATTGAGTTATATTATCAATAAAACCACCCATTTTTTTCATTAAGATAACTGATATACTATACCAGTTATAGTAAGTTACTAGGGAATCAATCAAATACATTTTCAATAAAGAGTTAAAGTTTAAAGGTGTTTTTTAAAAAAATTAGTAAAGCCAACTACTAAACTTAAAAATCAAAAACATAACCCATGCAATAACATGCAAGACTAATTTAGTTTAGGTCATGTAAGTGTTGGCAATACATGGTTTGCTTTTTTTTTAATTACATTGGGTTTCTCTGCAATGCAAATAGACCAAAAGAGAAAAAGAAATACAAAATTTGTCTTGCAAGTCTTTGGGACTGGTATTGAGTTAAAAACAACCACCAATAAAGCACTTTGTGGGGTTTTTTTGGTAGCAAGAGCTTATAGTGATTTTGAAAACAAAATCAGACTATTTTAACAGAATACGTCTTTTTATATTGATATTGATGGGTTTGACGAAAGGGAAACCAGTAGTTATTTTTTCCATTATATGCACAATTTTCTCTGATATGTGAGTGATATAGTAGGTAAGTTTCTAGATACTTAAATGTTATGAAGCTGAGCCATCTAATAGATATAGAACATGCCCACACTCTCTGAACCTTCACATTTATTTAGGAGGCAAATCCTTATAATTTTTGTTTGTTGTTTTTTGGTAACTGGAGAATGTACATTCTTCATAAACAATACAATTAATGAAAAAAAAAAAAAAGACACCAGCAACACCACCCATCAGACAAAGAATCTGTAGCCACTTCTGTCTGGTAACCAGTGGGCTTTTCTTCCCCCTAGCTGTTAACGCTTTCCCTATTACTCAGTCCTATTTCCCATTCCTGGGCTTATGGCACCCAAAGCAATCACTACTACACATACACTTTTGTCACAATAAAATTTGTTTATAATGCTTATCTTGTCTGTCTTTGACGTCTTTGCAAATTAATCATACACTAATGCTGGCATAATTTTTCCTCCACTACTTTCCCACCTGCCTTCATTCCTTCTTTTCCCTTATTTTTCTCCATTCTTCATACTAGTAATATTTCCATGCTAAGTTAGAATCCTAAAGTATTTTTCTGCTTGAAAATTTCAGTTGGTTTCACCACTTCCTATAGTTGGCTTTCAGTTCCCCTGACATCAGTAAAAACTAAATTCTGTGTTCCAGTCAGGTAACATTTGAGATAATACAATCAAGTCACTTTGGTTCTATCTATGAAATCACCTTAACTAAAATCTGATAACTCTGAATTATAATATAACTATGCAATTTAAACATGCCGAGAATTGCCATTTTGAAAAATCCTATTATTTTCCTTTTCCTGATGTAAATATTTCCTAAATAGTAGTTTTTATAGAAATGGCATACAGTGAAATGTGTCTTCCATATTATAATTAATCATAAATACTTCTTTAAATGGCCCTTACATAAATTAAACTCTAAATACTTATTGTACCTTTTTGACAAGTGTTTTACATTAAGCCCCCAAAATATAACTTCTTAGCATTCTCCACTAAAGATAAGATGGTTATTTGATTTTTAATAGACAAACTCAAATTAAGTGACCACTTTTGTAAGTCACCCAGATGTTTTTGAAAAAAAATCACAAAGAAGTGACATAAATAGGACTGTTTTTGCATTTTCATCATATTACTGTTTTATGACTTCAATTCCATAACTCACTTGGCAGATGATATGACCACTGCATGTTCATCAGAATTGAGGATTTTGGTAAGATGAGCTGCAACTGAGTCTTCATAAATTGTCATCTGAAAAAAGAAAAAAACCTACGCTGTATTATTGTTGCTGGCATTTACACAAATCAGCTTATTACGCCTTCAAAAATTGGACCATTTATGACACACGTGAAACAGGGAAATGGTTATAATAAAATATATAAAAGAGTCATTAGAAAAAATAGATTAATATTCCTCTTTATAAAAGGCCTAGAGCTTCTGGAATTCTGTAGTTTATATTCTTAGAGAAAAATCTGTAAGAACCATTTTAAAAATATTAAAAATTTCAAATAGCTGAATATATAAAGAAATCCTACAAGCTAGTACAAAGGAAACTAGCCAACTTAATAAAAAAAGGGACGACTAGAAATTTAAAGAGGAAGATACACCAATGGTTGATGAACAGAAGAGAAGGTACTCAACCTCATCAGCTATCAGGTAAATGCAAAGTAAAGCCAAGGCTATGCCACACTGCTGCCAGAATAGCTAAAATGAAAGCAAAAACAACTGGACAATGCAAAGTATCGGCAGGGGTATGGGGCAACAGAACCCCCATACACTGGGGTTGGGAAAGCACGCAGCTACCACCACACTAGAAAACCAGTGGGGGTGTATCCATTAAAGCTGAACATATGCATAATACTATAGGAACCAACAGTTCAACTTCTACATAAATACCCAAAAGAAATTTAAGTGTGCATTCACCAAAAGGCATGTATTAGAATGTTCATAGCCGCATTTGTTCAATAGTTGAATGGATAACAAATTTTACTGTATCCATGCAATGGAATATGACATGGCAATAGGAATGCATGATTTACAACTATGCCTCCACATAGATGAATCTCAGAAACAATGATAAGTAATTCAGAAACAAAGGAGAACATAAGGAGTGAATCTATTCTATAAAGCGCAAAAACAGACAAACTAATCTATGTAGTTCAAAGACAGCACAGTGGTTACTGGGGTAGAGGTGAGGGGGAAATGAATGAAAAAGGACATGAGACTGGCTCCTGGGCTGCTGGTAATGCCACCTTGTCATCTGGGTGTTGATTTCAGGATTTGCTTATTTTGTGGAAGCTTACCAGGCGATGTGTATATGATACATGCACTTTTCTCTATGAATATTATAAAAGGTTTCCAAAAATGCTGAATCATCATGTAAGCATGTAAATAAATATTTCTTTCAAATAATAAAACAATCAAAATGCTAAAGGAGTCCTATACCTCTTTTTCTTTTTTTCTATATTCCTGTTTGCTCATTGTTGATTTCCAACAACTGGTTAATTCTTACTTCTCTTTTTTTAAGCTAAAAACCCAGTTTAGGCACAATCTCCTCTATAGAAACCACTCAAGAGGCTGAGAGCCCTCTCTTCTTGTAAACTATGCTCTGTAAATACCAGTAACATTGCAGATCATCCCTTGTCTGTCGGTTTATCCTGTGACTAAGGCCATGTTATCCTTTCAATATGAGATGTTTTAAGAAGAAACCCAAGGAAGAACATTTTATTCAAAGCACTGCATCAAAAAAGGGGGTTTCTTTCATGTAGTTACAATTGAACCTCATATTTAGTGACTCTATAGGTGGTAAAAATGAATTATCTTTGTTTATGTACTGGGAAATATACATCTCTGAAATAAGTAGAAAAATTAATAGCACTTACAAAAATACTATTAGAAAAGAGATTGGCTCCTACAAAGACATTGATTATGTTTATAGTTGAATAAAATGATAAATAAAAGATGTTGTTTAAAATAAATGAACTAATTTTCAATAGCGATTATTTCTGGGTGGCAGAATTATAAGATTTTTATTTCTTTTTCATATGATTTTGTTTTTCCAATTTTTTACAAGCAGTTTTTGCCACTTTTATATCAGAGAATATTTTTTAAAACACAATTAGCTTCTTTAAGGAACAGCCCCTGTTTTTAGTTATCATTCCTTTTCTTAATTTTGACAAGATCTTAACTTTCTTAATGACATAACAAAGGTTTCAACTGTAAAATAAACAGATGAATTTTCCTAGAGGCAAAAATAAGCTATCATAGATCAAATGGTCTTAATGAGTCAGAAAATAATCCTTTGAAAATTAGGCTCTGTTTTAAATCATCAGTGCTTTGAGGTCTAATCAGAATGCTGACTCTTTAAAGACAGACATCTAAAAATTAGCTATTAACGGTCTGTAGCAGGGATGGAATGAAACAATCTTTTTTTCCTTTGTTTTATCTTGATCAACCTGGCTTAACCTAGAGACCTGTTTGGATGTACCCACAACAGAGCAGGCCAACAGGAACACAGCGATGGTAGAATATTCTGGCCATGAGCATAAATGTGTTTGGGACTGTTTAAAGGGGTAGGGCTAATACCTAATATTCAGACAGGTGATTGTGACCAAAGCAGATGCATAAATGTTAACAGGAAACTGCTCCCTGGCCTTCTTGGAGTCCCATTAGCAAGAGGAAGCTGGCAGGTTGGTTGGTTCAGGGAAAACCATGAGGAGTGGAGAAGGGAATGGAATGCTTGTTGCTTTACGCCCCTTCAAGACCTCATTTAATCCTCACAACAGTGTAGCCTCAGTTGACAGATGAAGGATCAGAAGCCCACAATGGTGAATGACACAGCTGCACTCACATCCCACTGTGGCTAGTCACAGAAGGACTTTATCCTCAATCATAAGGCCTCTTTTTTCCTGGGGGAGAGTGCTGGAAGTAGTCAATGAGACCATAACCCAAATAATAACAAAGGTAAGCCTCCATATCTACCATTTTAAGAGGACATTTTCTCAGTTTTTCAAAACATGCACCCAATTTTCAAATAATAAGTAGGTAAAGGGTTAAAGTCTTACATAAAATTCTTCAGATGCTTCTGGAGGCTCTGGAAGTAGAGAAGCCTTTGGTGGCAATTTGAGTTCATAAGTCATTATACTCCACCTGCAGGGAAAAAAATCTTGGTTCTCATCTCACACACACGTATGCACATATATTTATGAACTGTGACCTATTGTATCTAAAATAACCAAATGCAAATGTAGAGATTAAATTTTGTTAATCTACAACAACAAATTCCTAATTTATGATTTGCACATCTTACCATCTCTGTTTAGTGACTTCCACACTTTTTGGGGGCATGTTCCATGGGAAGAAACACACATAGGTAACAATAGTTCCCCTTTTTCATGAGGTGCAAGGCATTTTGACTTTCATGTTTCACTTTTTAAATAATGCTCATTGCAATTTATCAACTAGGTTATACAAATTACTAATGGGTCACAACCCAAAGTTTGAAAACAATGTTCTAGATTAAATAAATGCATACTACCTAGGAGAAATAAATCATTCCCCATGTCTTGCTGAGTCTGCTTACACATACGTAAAATGAAAATTAGCTAGCTATCTTTTCTTAAATTAAGAAAGAAAGTAGTAATCATGAGATTAAGGAGAAACTATTAATAGAAATAGTAATAGGAGAAAATTTATTTCAGTGAGTGGTAAATAGTTAACTTTAAAGCAAATGTTGAATGATTTGATTTTAGCAAAAAGTAGCTCCAGTAAGTCCAGTCTTCTCTCTAAAATAATAATTTTTAAATCTGGAAAGAACAGTTGGGTGGGGGTCTTACTGTTATCAGTAATGACTTGTGAAATAAAAATTTTGCAAAGACACAAAGCATTATAAAAGCTGTACTGTAACATACGAATTTTAAGAAAAGCTTATCATAGCTGAAGCCAGAACCTAGAGGAAAATCCCAAGATTATCATCAGTATTTAAACAAAACCTAAAGTATCATTCAGATTAATGAGTAAGTCTTTGCATAAAAATCCAAAATCTCAGAAAGTCCTTCAAAAGACAGGTTAGATATAAGGATGTATAAACAGAATAATTATTTAGAGCTGCTACTCAACTCTTGACTTGAAAATAATATAAAGAAATATACATTTGAATACAAAAAGCCATTCATTCATCCAACAAATATTTTCTGTACTTCTCAAAATGACAGACAGTATTCCAGGGTCTGGAAATACAATGGTGGAATAAAACTTCCCTAATTGAGCTTATATTCTAGTGTAGGAAATAGATACAACAACAAATAAAATAAACTCTACAAACGTATAAATGGGACAAATCACAATTGGAAACATGAAAGTCAGCTTCCTCATAGCTGCAAATCTTCTCTGTCGAAGTACAATGAAACAGAAAAGAAATGTACCCAAGTGTCCTAAATTCCCTGTACCTCTCCTGCTGTATTACCTCTCTTGGCTGGAACTGGAGAATGAAGACAAAGTACAGCTCCAGGCAGGTGGCACCTACTAGGCTGATTTAGAGACCAAGGGTGCACGCATACATTAAAGGGGAGGGGAATGGGGCCTCCCAGGTGGCGCAGCGGTTGAGCGCTGGGTTGCGAAGCTGCCCGCAGCCTCTGCAGGGCCGGTTCGATCTCTGACTGCTCCCCGGCCACCGGAGGAGGGTCCCACATGGCACGCAGACCTCTCCTGCCGCCCGCTGCTCCCCTCAGCAGTGTACTTCGGTACCTCTGCCTGTTCTGTCCCCTGCTCTGGCTCTGTTCTGTCCCCTGCTCTGGTTCTGTCCCCTGTTCTGTACCCAGTGCTGTATAAATAAATAAATCTTTAAAAAAAAAAAAGGGGGTGTGTGGGAGGGGAAGTCCTGGGAATAGATCCTGGAGTGCATCTTAGAATGCCATTTCTACTACTTATTAGCTATGTGGCAAAGATAACATAAAATGTCATGAACCTTATTTTACCTATAAGATGGAGATGGTTAACACTAGCTATCTCTGGTATGGAATGCTGATTAAATGAGCTAAAACTTTATCAGGAAAAGCACTAGAAGTGGCAGGCAGGCAAAAAATATTCATCATCCTTAGCCCCCTCATCTCTACAAGTCTCAATTTCCATCTTTGTAAAAGTCATAAAGATGCTTTTCTTAGCCACCTCACAATGGTGTTTTGAGGATGAAATAGATTTCTATGAAAAGCTTATACAATATGGAGTATTATTAAGCAGCAGTGTTTAGCCTTTTCTTCTTTACAAACAATATTCTTAATTTAGTAAAGAAAATATAAGAGCAAAGTATTCTTATGTTTCTAATATTGGTGCTGGGTTTTTAAATCCCTTTTGATTTTTTTTTCTGGTGTGTTTTGCAAGTCTGTACCAAGGAATTTTACCATCGGGGCACTGTTTCTCTGTTAGCCACCTGGAAAGTTAATTTTTCTCAGACACAAGGGAAAAGCACACATCAAGGGGAGAGGAAATATCTAGCAGCATTTCCTTGGATGCAGTCACAGTGGTATTTAAATTTGCAACAAAAAGTAATTTCTGGTAAGCACAGAATTGGGCTATTGGCTCAGAAATCAGCTCCAGGATTTTTTATATACTGGAGACTGAATGTACTTTATGCACCCAAATTACTGGGGCTATCCCTCTCATAAACAGTTTTGGATAAACACAGACAAATGCTCTACAGGCAAGCTCTCTTTTAAAATATTCTGTCAGCAAGAGACTCAACCATTACAACATTACCTTATGACAGGCAAGGTTACAATTAATTAGGTTAGAGCTCATCTTAGAGTAATTACATTTTAGATTGGTGGCTCCCTGATGAGATTTTCTTTTTTTTCGGGAAGAGTTCCACAGATGGCTAATTCTATCAAAGTTGTTTTGATTCATGCTAGCTCAAGTTTATAATGATATTTTGACATTTGTTTTCTACTCATGGAGAGTAGAGGTGGGGGTAGAGGTAGGGGGGAGGGGTGTTGCTGCTTACTGCCTGTTCTGTACCCCATTGTTTCCTCTACCCCAATTCTGAACACCTCCTCTCTGATAATCATGGTGCACACAATGTGATTTCTTTATATGGGGGAGGTGGTATTTAAAGAGAAAGCAGCTAAGAGATGTGATGGAGGATACCATTAACAAAGCGGTGAGTTCCTTCATATGAACTTGTCTTCCACATACTTTCCTCTCCATGGGAAAGGATTATCATTGTTTAGTATTCAGTTCTTTGATTCAATTATTTCCTAATGTGCATAATTAATAAGAGCTATTTTAACAAATCTAAAGTTTATATGTCTTTCTTAGTTTTAATGAAATTACAAGAAGATGGAACCATATATATATATACATATATATTATACTCATATACAATACATATATATAATACTCATCAGTGCCCTCACCCCATCACAATTAACTGTTTAACCTTTCTGACCTGAACATAATTAAAAGTAATTCAAATCCAACACAGAATTCTGTCTTCAAAATAATGGGTTTGCTGAACTAGTTTTTTCTGGCTATTTTTTTCTTTTACAATTCACCTTTAAATGAACAAAACATATCTGAGTGTCTACTTTGAGTTAGGCTCTGTTCTAGACCTCAGGTGTGAAACTGTGGACAAAACAGGAAACTTCTGCCCTCTTGGGCATAATTATAGTCAGCAAATTTTAAATGATCAAAAAATGACTTCAGCATAACTTTTCAATCTAGTTTTAGAAGAGAATTTGTTTACCTGTCCAACATCTTGGTGCTGGCTCGTTCCAACTTCTCTAGTATCTGAGGAAGTTGGGTGTCATCATCATAGGAACCTCCCCAGCCAAGAACCCGAGCAAGGTCATTGCCTGTCCCTAAGGGCAAGACTCCCAGCTGACACTGAAAGAGAGCAGAGCAAGGAGAGCTCAGGAGGTTAAGCAGGGACTCACATTTCTGTACTTCTCTGTCAGCAGGTTAGTATGCATGAATGTTAATATGCATTAAAGGAATTAGCACTTGCCTGTTTATTCAAGTTGAGTTTATCAATTTCTGACAAAACCCAACCTACACTTCCATCTCCTCCACAAACAAGAATCCGGAAATTGTCAAACTTCTGGAATAATCTTAAACTGAAAGAAAGTAAGAAGTATTTTATTTTAGCATAAATAAATAAAAATCACTTTCCCCAATTCTTTGTTTTTCTATATTTATTGGTACTTCTGTTCAGATTAAACATAAAAACACTTACCTGATTATTAATTACACTACAAAGTTAATTGGAGTAAAATTTACAACTCAAGAAAATCCTTAATACTAAGAATGAAGTCAATTTATTTTAAGTAGAGATGGTGATAAAATTAGGAAGAAAAAAATTAGGAGGAAAAGAAAGTGAGAAATGAAAAGAAAAAAAAGCAGAACCCAAATAAGATCAAAAAGTAAGTGATATAATATAATGATAATAGTGATTTTTCTCTTCCTATTACAATGATATGCTATTTCCATAAGAATGACTTATTACAAACCAAGGGTCAGGAATCTAGGACACAGATGCTATTGTGTAGAACTCCAGGCAGTTCTTAAATGACACCCACCAAATCTTGCCAACAGGAGGAAGAAAAAACAGAATTGGGAGCATGAATGAGTGTTAGCACCAAACAAGTACTTCTAATTCCCTTCTCTTCAGTCCTCCTACTTCTATCTTCCTTCACCTCAACTTTTGACACATTCCACCTCCTGAATATACCTTGTACATTCACAATGTGATGTCTTCAAGAAAAATCATAAATATACACTATATATGTATTAAAAGTGCCTCAAGGTATAGTTCCCTCATTGAAAATACTGTTTAATTCCCACCCTTCCTAGATTTTTAGCTATAAGACATCCTCCAGAAAGCTGAAACAACTAATAAAAGGATTTCTTTGTCATTTATGTGAACTGAATCTGACATCCTTGAGGAATTAGCCTTAAAACCCACGATGGTACTATGTTTTTTGCTCATAGTTGATTATCTGCATTATATATAAATCAATACTAGTTGTAGGAGCTTGGATTATTCTGCGTCTTTGCCTTCACTTTTCTGTGCCCTTCAAACAGAGTACGAACAGGGAAAGTTTGAGACAAGGAACCTTTCCTGGCAAAAGTCCTAGTATGAGGAACTATATATACACTTGCTGAAAACACCAATAGATACTAGGCTTAGATCAATCAGCTATAAACCTGAGGCCTCCCCTGATTCTCCCTGATCCCCCACACATTAACACATTCCCTGCATGTCTTCTTGCTTCTTTGACTTCTTATCTTCCTCTTGATTCTAAATAAATACGAGGCTGTCCTTGGACTGTACCTTGATTCACCTTTATTAAGGGAGTTTCTTTGGCATAGCCCTCAAGACTTCTCATTGTCCCAACGCACTTGAATTCTGAGCAATCTTTTCTCATCCTGTGCCATATGTCCTAAAGTGACAACCAATCTTCCATGCAAACCATTTTCTAAAGTAACTTTGTATACAAAAGATTATCTTCGTTAGACCTAAGCATACTGTGAGTATTGTTCAGCGTGGGATATATTCTAGATAGAACATTTTCTAAACAAATTTTGGAATTTCTAGCACAACAATGATAGAAATCAAAGATGTTGTGTTGAAACTTATAATTAAACATAAAAGAAGGAAGGAGTGGGAAAATAACACAGAAATGTCTAGATGAAACGCCAGACATATTTCATGCTCAGCGCTACACATTATTCAAATGAGACTTATCAAAAATAAATTACCCTAAATGAGGACCTCCATTCATTAAGTCAAACACCTGAGCTGGATTTAGTAACTGTTTGAATCGCCGGAGGAACTTTACTCCCTGATTATCTCCACTCTTAGAATTGACAAAAACCAATAGAGGACTAACACAGAATGAAAATGTTGCTCTACAGAAACCTGAAAAAAAAAAAAAAAGGTAAGATCAATATTTACAGTTCTCTCTCTTAAACTATTAACAAAAATTAGAAAAAAGAAGACAAGTTCATAAGAATAGAGAAACTTGTTCATTACTTTAACAATGTTATCATTTAGTCTCTCAAATTAATGTTTATTTATGTGCAAATAATATAGAACTTAACTTTTTATGTATGTCCTACAATTAAAAATCATAGAATGATTTTTAAATTGATAAAAATGTTAGTCAATGACAATTTAATACATGTCATGTGCCTTAATAATACTTAACTGTAAGAAAAACCAATCACAATCTATCTGTTCTCACTTCTTAAAGAATTCATGTTCATAATCGGTATTATAAAATATTTTAACTTCTCCTTAGTAAGGCTTGAGAAAGTATTTTAAAATTTATTAAAAAACAACAGAAATTTGATATATCAGGATTTGGGGGGTTGTTAATAATGCAAGTTTAAAAAAATTCACTTCTTTCGAGGCTTATATCCTGATAGCTATGATATTACCAACATAATTTATATAAAAAGTTTGAAAAGCATACATTAATAACAGTGTTAGAGAAAAATCCTTTAGTAATATGATTGCTTAGAAGGAAGCTATTACTATGCAATCCAAAAGGCGTGTTATAAAAGATTCCTTAGCTCTTAACAAAGTTGAGGATTCTAGAAAAGTGAATGAATTTATAAGTATGTAAATTCTTGCGATGAAACTTAAGAAAAACAAATTTCAATAAGAGCTATGTTAATGGGCAGTATCAATTATGGAAGAAAACAATAGTCACAAAGATTAAATTTGGATTTCAGTACAGATAATGATCTTATTGTATATGCTTAACTGTCAGATCTAAAAGTCTCATACAATATGTCAGTAGCAATGTTAAACCAGTTTTAAAAGATTTATGTAAAAGGTAAAGGTTTATTCAGTGATTTCAATGGAATTATCATATGAAGGCTGATCAGAAAAGCAACTACAGCTCTATTTCTTCTAGGAAAAAAAACATACAAGTTAACAATAAATACACTAGAAATATACATACTTACACTACCATTACATACCATCAGAATCGGTGCTGTTTAGTGCAATTGGAGGTATGATAGACACTTTACACTGGCCAAGTGGACATACAGGATGGTACAAATCTTTGCAGGCAGTATGTACCTAAAAGTAAGCAAATGAATTATCAACATTCATAAAAATATGGCCTCCCTGGTGGCACAAGGGGTTAAGTGCAACGCTGTGAGGCTGTCCGCGGCCTCTGCAGCGTGAGTTCCATCTCCGGCCAGCCAGGGAGATTCCCACATGGTGCAGCAGACTTCTCCTGTCTCGCCCACTGTTCCCCTCAGCAGTGTATTTCAGTCAGTCTGGCTGTTCTGTTCCCCACTGTCTCTTGTGAATCCTCTTACCCCCCACCCCACACCTCTGGCCTGTACTCCAGTTCTCATATAAATAAATAAATCTTAAAAAAAGAATAATAAAAATAAACCTGTGTTTTATTACAAATTATACCGAAGGAAGTCATCACTGGCTATTAACTGCATCACAAGATGTTCAGTAATTCATAAACTACTTTAATGACACAATAGTTCATGTCCAAGGAATGGTTTAATCATTTTGGAGATGGGAATTTGACTTGGTTTATGCAGCCTATTTCATGTTTATCTCAGGCAAGTAGTATATAATCAACAAATACCTGGCAATGGCAAGGAGAGAGGAAAGAAGTGAAAGGAATGCAGACAGAGGGAAGAAAGAGGAAGAGACAATCTGAAGAAGAGAGAGAGGAGGCGGGAAGCTAACTAGCATATATCAATAATACTGTCGGGAAAAAAACGGGTGACATCCATCTTTTATAATTCTTACAGAACTTAATGAAAATAAATCTGAATTTGTCCACTCTATAGCGATACTTTGTATTCGTATATCTTTTTTAACATTTTTGTGTAAGTATAGTAATATATGTAGTTATAATTTTCATGTTATTATAGTTAAAATACATCCAAGCTTATTTTCTCAGCTAGAGAGTCTTTAAATGTTTTAATCAGTAAAGTAGCCACTTTATTAAACACTTATTTAACATGGTCTTATTTCATTAACCTTTTAGAAAACTGGAATTTACTTTTAATATGATAAATTTAATTTAGTAATATTGGTTTACAACATGATATTTGTTTTAGAGGTTACAGAGTCAAATCATTTCAACTGTATGTTTTCATATAAAGCCCACTACCCAAGTCCCAATAACCCTCCACTATGTTCCCTTGGCCTTCTCCCTCCCTCTCCCACACCCTGCCACTCTACTCTTCTGGTTGCCTCAGTTTTATAGTCAGATGTCAAGGATTTGTTATTGATTTGGTTTTGCATGACCCTTTTTTGTTTCTCTTTATTCCATGTGTAAGTGAAGCCATCCAGTACTTAATCTTTGTCCTCCTGACTCATTTCCTTTAGCATTACTCTTTCCAGTTTCATCCATGTTGTCCAAATGTAAGAGTTCATCATTTTTTTACAGCTAAGTAGTATGCCATTGTGTAGATCACATTTTTCTAATCCATTCCTATGTCCTTTGGCCCTGAAGTTATCTCCATAACTTGGTGATTGTAAACAGGCTACAGTGAACACAGAAGTGCCTGTATTCCTTCCAGGTAGGGTTTTTGTATCCTTTGGGAATGGAATTGTTGGGTCCTATGTCAGATCTATTTTTAAAATTTTGAGAAACCTCCATGCATACTGTTTTCCATAGGAGCTGACTAGTCTCCAAAGGTTACTTTTTCTCTGCGTCCTCACCAAAACCTGTTTCTTGTCTTTTTAATATTGGCTTTTCTCATAGGTATGACATGGTATTTCATAGTTTTGATTTGCATTTTCCTGATGGTAAGTGATAATGAACATTTTTTCATATACCTATCTACATGCTTTCTTTGGAGAACTGTCTACTTAGCTCTACTGCTCAACATTTTTTATTTGGTTCGTTGTTTTCTTTTTGTTGAGCTGCATGAGTTCTTTACATATTTTGGATATCAGTCCTTTGTCAGAGGCATGGTATCCACATATTTGCTGGTAGTCGTTTATTTTGCTTTTGTTTACTTGACTTTGTAGTGGAGCCTCCAAAGACATCCCTGAAGCCAATGTCATGGAATAATTTGGCCTATTTTTTCATCAATGTACTTAATACTTTCGGGTCTTAGCTACATGTCTAGTACATTTTGAGTTAATTTTTGTGTAAGGTGTCAGATGATGATCTAGTTTTATTCTTTAGCATGTGGCTGTCCAGGAAAATTGGTATGTTAATTAAACGCATACTTATCAAAACTTTTGAGAAAACTAAAATTGAATAGTGATTCTTGTTCTGCTGATAATCTAATTTTGGACAGTTTCCTATTAGGAATTAGAATAACAATTCAAATGGATTTTAGAAAAATGAGCATGCACAACTGAAAAAGGCTTTTTAAAAGTATGAAAATCATAGAACAGAAAAATATTTAAGACAATTTTAATTTAAAAAAGCATAAGATAAAATTGTATCTTCACAGAAAAGATAGAGCTACATCTAGAGACTATATAACAGCTAGAAAAAATAGGCATTTACTCCTTTGGGTTGTGGAACTGTGGTTTGTTTTGGTTTGTTTTGGTTTCAATTAGATGACTATTTTTTTTCTAAAAATGGAGAAAACCTGGGCCGCCCCGGTGGCGCAGCGGTTGAGCGCTGGGTTGCGAAGCTGCCTACAGCCTCTGAGCACCAGTTCGATCCCCGGCTGCTCCCCAGCCATTGGAGGGGGGTCCCGCATAGCGCGCAGACCTCTCCTGCCGCCTGCTGCTCCCCTCAGTAGTGTACTTCGGTCCTTCTGCCTGCTCTGCTCCCTGCTCTGGCTCTGGTGAATTCTCTCACGCTCCCGTGCTTCTGACTGTACCCAGTGCTTGTATAAATAAATAAATAAATAAATAAATAAATAAATAAATAAATCTTTGAAGAAAAAAAAAAAAGAAAAAAGTGGAGAAAACCTGATTTTTATTTATTTTTTTTCAGATTTATTTATATAAGCACTGGGTACAGTCAGAAGCGCAGGAGGGTAAGAGAATTCACCAGAGCCAGAGCAGGGAATAGAACAGGCAGACTGAGGGAACAGACTGCTGAGGGGAGCAGCGGGCACAGAAGTAGAGGGCTGTGCGCCATGTGGGACCCTCACCAGCAGCCGGAGATCGAACTGGTGCTGCAGAGGCTGCAGGCAGCTTCACAGCCCAGCGCTCAACCGCTGCGCCACCGGGGAGGCCCTAGATGACTATTTTTACACACTAGATATTCCACTGTTAAAAAATAAGAAAAGACAAATGAAGTCCTAGAATTGGGGAAATAGACTTCAATAAATTTACAGAATAATAAAAATAACAGTAAATATATACATCAGTGATTATCTCCCCCCAAAAGAAATTTTAGGTGGGATGAAGACTTAAAATCTTGTTTATAGGTGCATACTTTTAAAATAAGGAATGACAAAAGGTGGGGGACTCCAGGGATTGGAGTTACATTAAACTCCAAAAAGGGAAACCTAGAAGGCTATATATTAAATCACCTATGGCTAGCAGAAAAGGGAACTTATGAAGAACAACAAAAGCATCAGGACAAAGTGAATCATGCTTGATTTTTTTTAAGAAACACAATGGAATATTACTCAGCTATCAAAATGAAAAACTCATGCAATTTTCAGCAACATGGATGGAGCTGGAAGGGATCATGCTCAGAGAAATAAGCCAGAAAGAAAAAGAAAAATACTGGATGGTCTCACTCATAGCAGGAATTTAGAAAACTTAAATAAGGGACCAGGAAAAAGACTAATTATAATAAAGTAAAAAATCAAAATCAATAAGCAACTATAAACCAGAGATACACTACAGGGGAGGAGATGAGAGTAGGATCAAAACAAGGGGGTTGGGAATTGTATGAGGACTATAGCCAAGATGAAAATGCATACATTGTGCAAAAATGAAAAATGATGTAAAAAATATATAAAATAAAGAAAAGAAACAGGGCCTCCCCTGGTGGCGCAGTGGTTGAGTGCTGGGTTGCGAGGCTGCCCGCGGCCTCTGCAGTGCCAGTTCGAAACCTGGCCACCGGTAAGGGTCCCACAAAAATAAATAAATTAATTAATAAATAAATTAATTAATTAATTAAAAGAAACATAGATTACCTACCTGGCTTCTAAAACACAGTAACCCCTATTTTATTCTATACCCTATGAGATTAATTTCATTGATTAAGGAATCAACATATCATTCATTTCTTACACTTGCCCGTCTATATCATATTATTAAAGCAATGTATTTTCCACTTTGGTGGGGAAGAGGGGGAGTTGACTTTCAAGACTCATAAAAAAAAAATTCATAAAAATCAGCCCCAATGCAAGGCAATTACTGTGGATGTTGGACAGCCCATGTACAGAGGACCACTCATAGTTATTGCTCCTCACCTTATTATTTAGCCCCACACCACCCCCTGATGGGACTGAGTCCACCCTCTGATTCCTGTGCTAATAATGTCATGCAGCCCAGCATAGTTGGGACCACTCCTTGCCAGAGGGGTCATGAAATACTTCATGAGCATCTCACTGCTTGCTTTCACATGAAAAGATGTTTTAAAATATTTATTTATATAACTTACATTTATATAACTTAAATTATATTAGGGCATGGCCTACTGAACTTGGTGTTCTGTCTGTCAGAGAAAACACTCAGGGTGATAGTAAAATTACATTCTGCATGTCAACCAAAATTTGGTGATGCACCAGAGAAGTGTGCAAAGAACACACACATGTTTTCTGTGTACAAAGAGCAAACCACCAAGTGTGGAAAAAGCTTAATGAGAAACAATGAAACTGTGGGAAAGAGGTTCTTAGACAAAGAAGAGCTACAAGAGCAAATAATACAAGCAAAGGGCATTTGAAAAAGGAACTAGACTGGAAGGAATACACCTTCAAAAAAGATGAACATTACAGTGGGTGTGTGTGCACGCAGGCGCCATACATTCTTTTGTTGCCTCTAAATCAAATAGATGAAAGAGTTACAAAAAGAGGCAAGAAAGGAAAATAATTATTAAGTCTTACCATTGTTTTACACCAAAGGCATTTCCAGTCTTGCAGACGGAGAACACTGCCACATGTTTTGTCACAGACAGCACATTTGGCGCTCACGGGCAAGTTGCCCTCAAGCCACTGGTGAGGCATGGCTACCTGTGCAGCAGGAAGAAAGGGCAGTCACATAAAACATACGGAGGACATCATTCCCATCCCAGGGGAGACACATCATTATTTCTTTCTCTGTGAATTCAATACCATGCATCATTCACGGCATCCACTCATTTATGCCACATTTATTGAGCATCTGTTATGCCATGAGCACTGCAGGGATGGACAGATTAAGTCAGACTAAATCCCTGCCCTTCAGGACTTGTAATATAGCTGAGGGGAAAAGCATGCAAAGGGATGTCTTCATTTGTCAGATAAGGGCTCTTGTTAGAACACCAGCCCAGCAGCACAACACCTCATCCCAACTCACATGTCCTGCAAAATTTAAGAGCTGAAGAAAGTTATGAAGGGTTGACTAAAAATGAATATTCATAATTAACTGAAACCTTCTTCATAATATTAATCCTAATAATGTACACTCCCACTTAGCTCTACTATGATTAGCCACAAGAACAGAAAGTAGGACAGAAGAGATGCTGGAACGAGAGCAGAGACAGAAGAGGGCTTACTCCATCCTCATCCTCTATGATGTCCTTCCCGACAGAGGCCAGAGTGGTCCATTTGCAGTTATTGGTTGCCCTCACTGCACATCTTTTGTGAGCCTTGAATTTACACACTGGAAAAAAAAAGTCAACCATTTCCAAATGAACATGTACTCAATGGTTAAAAAAAAACACACATGAAATTTTAAAGGGAGGGGGCAGAAGGAAAACAATATTTTAAGAAGTTTAAGTTACTCTTCAGTAGTAGTAATGATATTCTAAAAAGCTAACATAGCAAGTATTTATGAAGCACTTTTATCAAGGTACTTAAAAAGATTTCATGTATTCATGAAAGAAGAACAGAAAGGAAAAATACAAAAGACTTAGTTCTTAAGAAAGGAGATAAAATGCACACAAGCAAGACAAAGGAAAATAAAATTCAGTAATGCAGAGGAGCTGTTAACATTCTATTTCTTGATTTTTTTAAAAAGATTTATTTATTTATGCATACAAGAACTGGGGTACAGGACAGAGGTGCAGAGGGTGAGAGGATTCACCAGAGACAGAGTGGGGAACAGAACAGGCAGATCAACTAAAATACACTGCTGAGGGGAGCAGCAGGCGAGTCAGGAGAGGTCTGCTGCGCCATGTATCCCTGGCCGGGGATCGAACTCATGTTGCAGTGGCTGCGGATAGCTTCATAGGTTGCGTCTTAACCCCTTGTGCCACCAGGGAGGCCCATTTAAAAAAAAAAAAGATTTATTTCATTTTATGCATACAAGAGCTGGTGTACAGGTCAGAGATGCGGGGGGTGACAGGATTCACCAGAGACAGACTGGGGAACAAAACAGGCAGACTGACTGAATAAACTGCTGAGGGGAGCAGCAGGTGAGACAGGAGAGGTCTGCTTCACCATGTGGGTTGCTCTCTGGCCTGCCGGGGATTGAACTTGTGATGCAGAGGCTGTGAATTGCTTCACAGTGTGGTGCTTAACCCCCTGCGCTACCAGAGAGGCCCCATATTTCTTAATTTCTTAATTAAATGAATTAAATGTGATTAATCTGTGAAAATCCAATAAGCTGTACATCTCTGATATTTGCCTTTTTCTGTATGTGCAATATACTTGAAATTTTGGAAAATATCAGAAGAGTTTTAAAGTACAACTATATTAAGAAAATATATAGACATGGGAAATAGGTTGATGAGGGTACAGAGATGAGGCAGTCTTTTGAGAATATGTTGGGATGACTACACTATAATGTGAAAGAAAAGAAGATGGGATGTTCCCATTATAAGCATCACTAATTTTCTCTAGCCACACTATCACAAGGGATCCTATGAAACAGATAAGAGGAAACCAGCAAAGAAGCAGCAGCACATATATGAAAAAATGAAAAAACTGTAGTGTTGGAAAAATTAACCACTGCTTATGAATATCAGACCCTCACTACTACTAAACACAATTACCCTCCTAACGACACTAATCATCCAAGCATTACTGGGTACTGATGTTATGCTAGTTTCTGACTTTTCAGATATTTAAAAATAGAGATCATTACAGTGGAAATATAAGGGAAGTGTAACTACATTTCAAAACTAAGGTGACTGCTTTTTAGCTGATTTTTACATTTCTGCCAGTAAACTGAAATCTGAAACAACAGCTTAAACACTATTCTCTTTGAATTTTCCTAATTTGATGTAACATGTAAAACAACTAAGATTTCTATAGCCAAATGTTCGAAATGCTTTGGGTGTCATGAAAACAGTCCATAGCTGGGGTTTCCTTAGAAATATTAGCATATAGACACTGGAAATGTTTCATTTACCTGCTCTATTGTGTTCATTGTAAATACTGGAAGGCCTTCAAAATAACATCACATAATATTACAGACTTGGAAGGAGTTAAGTCATATTGGTTAATTACATCTTTCTTTACAATCATTCTCTAAATCTAAAAAAAAAATTAATGCTTTATTCAGATTTTCATTTTCATGAAATTTATTGCATCAAGCCATGATGCATTCTGTAATTCTTCCTTTGATAAATTTCCTACAGAGCAGTTATAAACTTTCATAATTTTTTGACTAAAAAAGTAGTTTTTTTAAATTGTATTTCTTAAATTTCATACTGTTTCTTAATGCTCAGATATAAATGACTATCATTCCCATTGAATAGGAGAGAAAACAAAAACCTAGAAGAGTTTATACTTCTCCTGGTCAGAATTTGCAATGTTCAAAGAGGAACTGGAAGCAGTGGATTTAACTGCAGAGCTCTAGTCTCAACGACTACGCTATAGCAGATTGAAGAGTTGAAGTAATGATAAATCTCAGATTTCATAATTTAAAAGTGAATTAAAACTGTGACTTTATTACTACTTTGTCACTTGATACAAAAAGCATATTCAAAATTATTTAATAATTTTGTATTAAGAAAGAAGCACTAATGGTGTGATTACTAAAATATGAAATTAAATAAATCTAAAGAAGCTATGACTTTTCTCAGTAATTACTAAAGTATTTGCTTGAAGTAGTCACTGCTCTTAAATTAAAAAATGAACCCACAAAATCCTATGAAGAAAACAACAGCATAGGCCTTACCTTTAGAAAACTTTAAGGAAATGAAAAAGTGTGGCATCATTTGTGACAGCATGGATAGAACAGAAGGGGATTAGGCGAAGCAAAATAAGTCAAAAGGAGAAAGACAAACAGCAGATGGTTTCACTGATATGTGGAAGATAGAAAAACAAAAGAAAGGGTCAGACACAACCACACCAATAACCAACCCTAGAAAACTGACTGTGAAATTGAGGCCAGGAGATGGGCAGGGAGAGGGGGCACAGTGGACTAGGGTGGAGGACTGTGGGTGCCATGGGTGGGTGTGGTGTGGTGTCATGCATCTGAGGAGGGGTGTCCTGTGCCTCTGAATCACATGCAATGCTGTTAACCAATATTACCTCAATAAAAACTAATTAATAAAATAAGAAGGATGGCATCATTTAAATTAAACATAACTGAAATAAAAGCAAACAGCCTTTAAAATAGTGCAATGCAGGGCCTCCCCTGGTGGTGCAGTGGTTGAGTGCTGGGCTGCAAAGCTGCCCACAGCTTCTGCAGCACCGGTTCAATCCCCAGGCACTGGCGAGCGTCCCACATGGCGCGCAGACCTCTCCTGCTGTGCCCACTGCTCCCCTAAGCAGTGTATTTCATCAGTCTGCCCGTTCTGTTCCCTGCTCTGGCTCTGGTGAATTCTCTCACCCTCCCGCATTTCTGACTGTACCCAGTGCTTGTATAAATAAATAAAATAAATCTTTAAAATAAAATAGTGCAATGCAAATAGTTGTTGGAAATTCTACCAAAAGAACATAGTGTGCTTACATAAAGGTTGTTTTTTCTCCATAACTAATCAGATCAGAAAAAGACAACTAGATCACTAGAATGATAATGATCTATCCAGTCCAAAGTATTCTTTTCAAAGGTAGTTGGTAGTGCCTCAAGAATGAAATGCTACATTCTAACTTATACTTCCCTTCAAGTGATTTTATATGATCTTTTCCTGAACAAAAACATTTTCCAATGTAGTCCTATGTGTGCAGAGCTCCATTTCTAGCTACACTCAAACTCAGACACTATGTTCCTGCTGAGACTCTCCCAAGGTACAGCTGACAGTCAGTTTTCCTGTGGTGGTGCTGCCCTGCTCACTTCCAGAAGCCCAGCTGGCAGCGTGTTACCCTGAGGTCAGGGCAGAAGCAGTGCCCAGGCTGGGTGCACACAGTACCTTCGCAGGACAGGCCGTGGGAAGTGACTCCGGAAAGACTCTCCCTGCACACGTTACAGAAAGTGGGTCGGGCGTGGGAGCAGGCGTACCAGTTATGCATCCCTGAGAAATGTTCCACATTAAACTGGGCCACCTAGGAAGGAGATGATAGCACAGATTTGCCAAACAAGAGGGCAAGATTACAGACATTTAACTGTATGGAATGTATAGGATTGTGTTGAAAATTTCAAATCTGTAATATTTTAAATTGGTTTAAAGAGAAGTCTTTATCAGGTTTAAACAATTTGCTGAATGAATGTACACATACTTTAAAAATTTTTTGGGCGAAAGTAGCTTTCCCTCTTCAGTAAACATCTATTCTCTAAGAACACAAGAGACAGAAGAGATGCTGTTTTACCTCGTAAGGTTCTCTGGTCTGTACAGACTTCAGTGAGCTGATCCAATCCTCCATCTCCTTTCTGTTCTCAGCACATAGCATGAGTCTTCTGAATGGAGTGATTATCTGAAAGGGATAATTCAATCTACTGATTGTTACTAACTAACAAGAGAGATGATTTGAAAGCCTAACATCTTTTTGCAAGGTAATTGCATTTCTAATCTGAGTTCTTATTTGTTGATTAAGAAAGGAAGATTCTCAAGCACATAAACGAGTTTTTTCTTCTGAGTACGGTATAATGTGATTGAGGAAGGAAAAATTCTAGTCTTTTCTTGGATTTAATTTTATTGCTACTCACTGATCACACTTTTTCAGTTCTTTACCAAAGACTGTGAACCCAAATAAACAAAGTATTCTTATCATGGAGTATATCTGGAAAATTGGCTTTAGATATACTTCAACATAATTCATAGCAAGTTTAGAATTCATCCTTTTCAATATAAAAAATATATTTAAAATTGAAAATCAAATGAACATAATATTAAATGATTTCATAATTCACTTAAAATGGTATCAAGAATATTGTTATTAAACAACAGAGTTTACATATGATTTCCATTTTATGTCATCACCTACTTTAATATGATTTATATGAAGAATCCCCCCTTTGTGTAGAACCTCACTGTACTACCTTTCAGTGAGAGCAGAAAAGAAGAATTAGCATAAACATCCTCTGATTGGCTTTAAGAGAAGAAAATAAATGTGACTTTCATTTTTTCCATGTCACTAAAGAAGGAAAATTAATTACATTAAAAACATTATTTGTGACTTTCATTTTTTCCATGTCATGAAAGAAAGCAAATTAATTACATTAAAAACATTAAAGCAAGTAGAATGAATACTTCATGCTATTATAGCACCCAAAGTGCTTCAAAAAGACTTGAAAGAAGCCTTATTTGTGTGTGAATACAGTATTCTGGTTGTAATCTTAAAGTCGCTAAATCCTAAGCATTTACTACAAAGAAGGAACCATTTATTATGCAAAAAGAGCAGACTGCTATATTCTTGCCTAGAAACTATTTCCAAACAATAAATTGTGTATTTACCTAGCAAATAAGAAATTTTGTCAAGTTAAAAGTCATTTGATGAAGCAATAATCTACATATTGCATTAGTGAGATTTCTGAAGTCATGAAAAAGCAGTAATCATCTTTAAAAAAAGGGAACCCATACAGAGTAAACTGGCAAGCTTCAACCACTGCTACTCGATCTTAGAAAACAAGCCCATTACCCAAAACTGTTAAGATCAGCCCAATCTTAGCTACTCACCAGTCATTGCCGCCTTTCATTTATCATGAATTTAGGCTACACAATCCTTCCTGAAACCAAAAGGTCTTACTATCTCTGACAGGCACTCACACTTAAATACAGTTGGCCAGAAGTCACATGGTAGAGGAACACCAATCCTTCAGCTCTGGGTGTTTTGTTAATTGCATGAAACTGAAGCGAACCTCACTTTCACATTTTCTTCTGTTTTACACTAACCTCTTTGGATAAAGCTTATTAGCAGTTGGTCACTTCTCTTCCTGAATAAATAGTTAATGCAAAGAGCAAAGCCTCCTTCATTACTTAGGAGCCAAATGGATGCTTTATTGCTTCAAAATGTTTTTCTGGGACAACTCATCAAATGTAGCAGAGAGATACCATTAAATCATAATAGACTCCTGGCTCCAATGACCGCCATAGAGCTCCAGAAATCTCCAAGTTTCACTGAGCTGATGGTATAAATCTACTTATCTGAAAAACATCGCCTCTATCATTTCTTATTTATTTATTTAATATGTTATATGATGTGACTATAAAGATTTCCTCTCTGTCATTATGATCTTACAGTAGACAAGTATTATTCAGATAAATAAGGCAGCCTTGCTAATTTTATTCTATAATTTTGTTTTTTGTTGGATTCATTCTAAGTAAAGCAACATATCAGATGTTTTTAACTATCCTTAATGATTTTGTTTTTATTTTATTTTTTAAAATATTTATTTATGTATGCATACAAGAACTAGGATACAGGCCAGAGGTGCGGGGGGTGAAAGGATTCACCAGAGACAGAGTGGGGAACAGAAGAGGCAGACTGAATAAAATACACTGCTAAGGGGAGCAGTGGGCAAGACAGGAGAGGTCTGCTACACCATGAGGGTAGCTCCAGCTGGGGATTGAACTTATACTATAGAGGCTGTGGACAGCTTCACGGTGCTGAGCTTAACCCCTTGCACCACCAGGGAGGCCCTAATGACTTTATTTTTAGAAGTCATCAGGAATTCAATAAAAAGGGGAGGAGGATGAAAAAACAGCTTCTAATTTTCCTTCTAGCTTTTAGAACTACATAAATGCCTCAGTTCTAAAGAATTTCAGCAATATAATTTTATAACCTTATATGCTAAAATAAGAGTATACATTACCAATTTCTCCTTTTAATGAAATTTTATTTTATTTCATTTTTATATTTAAAGAGCAGATTTATTAGAAAAAAGGACAGACGACCTAATGACACTTGCACAGACACAAGCAGGCAGGAAGAGCTGCCCTGAAATGGACAGGTTTGCTAAGAGAGGCCTGCATGGTTGCAGGTGGGTGGCCTTGAGAAGAGATGCCTCCTCTGAGACAGGCCAGTGAAGAGAAGCCCTGGCATGGTACACTTATGGGCAGGCAGGATGCTGCTGCCCTACAGAAGGAGAGAGTTGGTGAAAGGAAGCACCTGCATAGTCACAGGTGGGCAGAAGGACTGCTACCCCTTTGTGGAGGCAGCATTAGGTTTTATCATCTTCTTTCAGTAGGGAGGGGCTCATCTTTGTGGGTGGATAGTTTGAATGAAAATTTATTTTAAAAGGGATAATAATAAGCAAGTAACTTTTAAGAATCAAAAGAAATTACAAATTATTTTGACTTACAGACTTTGTGATTAAGAAATCTGATTATAATTGTAGGAAGTAGGTATGAAAAAGAAGATCCCTCACAAATTAAGTGACGCAGAGATGTCTGGCTTTGTGGCCAGGGGGCCAAAAATACCTCAGCATGCATTCCAGCATTGTTTGGGCCCACTTGGAAACAAGGCTGAAGCACAGGGGAAGCCTGGGGTGTCTCCCATCCCTTCTAGAATAATCCCTCATGCGATTTTTAATGCTCTCAGTTCCCTCCCTATCTCTATTTAAATTCTCCTCATCCTGACATTTGTAGGAAAGGATATGATAGTCACAGTTGTTAATGGGACAAGTTCTGGCTGTACACGACACCACAGAGTTTCTCATATAAATCTTAATAGGAAAATTGTGGGGAGCAGTAAGCTCCAAAATTATTTGGTTTTTACTCTGAAAGTATATTGAACTTAGCTTTTTTATTATGACAGTTGCGTAGGATAGCGGAGTGGGAAGGATAGAGGCAATGTAGGGATGGGAATAGACCCCAGGGAAGATTACCTAAGCTATTTGGGGGCCAAGTCTGGAAGTTTCTGGAAACAAGAGGATATTTGGTCTTTCTTGAAAGATATGCAGCTCACTTACCCTTACAGCCCCCTACCCCTTGTCCTTATCTCAATCCCTCACTTTTCCTCTCTTCTTACCACCCCAACAATTCCAAATACATTTTCCAGAACTTTAGCAACTAACTGCTCCAGCATTTATTGTTCACTGCATGCCAGAGCCTAGGCATATAAAACACATGGGCTCTGACTTAATCATCTAGAATGGAGATTAGACAATAAAACAAATCCTTGCTTGTCTGAAAAAGTATTGTACAGGCCAGAGTACAAAGGAGTTTGGTAAACACTCCATCAAATAATAAACAAAGTATCCACAAACAGTTATTAGAGTAACAGAGTTACTGTCCTATAAGGGTTAATATACCAACATCAGGACCTCCCTGGTGGCGTAAGGAGTTAAGCACTGCACTATGAAGCAATCCACAGCCTCTGCAACAGAAGTTCGATCCTGGGCTGGCCAAGGAACTACCCTTGGCCATGGGTAGTTCATGGCACAGCAGACCTCGCCTGTTTTGCCCCGCTGCTCCCTTCAGTATTTCAGTCAATCTGCCTGTTCTGTTCCCCACTCTGTCTCTGGAGAATCCCCTCACCCCCCGCATCTTTGGCCTGTACCCCAGTTCTTTTATACATAAATAAAAAAATCTTTAAAATATATATATATATATACCAACATCACTATGTGTGTATAAGAATCAAGGATTTGCCAATCTGGCAAACCATATATATATACACAATAGATACAAGACAATCCAGTGTGAAATATATGAAAACCTATGGAAGAGTAATATTATAGGTAAGATTTTAAATACATAAACATGTACAGGGAAAAAATATGGCACAAATAATTTTCACTGTAATTTTCCTGGTTTGTTTAGTATCTAAAGTAAATCTGTATTGCTTGTGTGCTCGAAACATTTTTAATTTTTTACTAACAGAAGGATGGGAATTTAGAACTTAAAACTGCATCATTCCACAGCAGGAGCTCTCAACCTCTGACGTGCATTAGAATTACCTAGGCGATCTTTAAATATTCCACTGGCCAGGCCAGTTCACACCAATTTACCCAGAACACAATAAGGGTTAGGACCCAGTCACCAGTTGTTGTTTTCTTAACTCTCACATGATTCCAAAGTGCAGCTAAATTTGAGAACCAGTGTCTTAAAGATATCTTATTGTTCCCTATGATAATGTTAGAACTTAAAAAATGAGAAAAGTTTCCACAGAGAAGTGAACAACAAGGGATTGCTAATCTGCAAATTCCCAGTTGGAAATCACTGATGTCACAGCACCGTGACTCAGTGTGAAACTTGAGCCACAGTCACCTGGACTGACCCCCAGTAGCATCCTTTCCTATTTGTGTGGTTGTGGACACGTTCCCATGGCTCTGAGTCTCAGTTCTGCATCTGTGAAGGGGGTGGACAGAGCAGGAACTCATAGTCCTTGGAGTGTGGCAGGTGTGAGAGACAACAGTTTGGTGATGGATGCAAGCCAGACTTCTGAAAGTGAACACAATGGGTACGTGCAGGGCTGACCTTCCAGGTTGTGCAGCTGAAACCTAGATAATGTTATAAACTGAAGTTGCTTCA